GCATAATTAACTTGTTTGACAGGAAAGAACCGGAAAGTTCTTGGCAGAAGAACCAACGAACGTAAAGACAATTAAACTTAGCCTAAATGAAAACAAATTGTAAAATCACCTTTCACTTCACTAAATTTCTCATTTTTCTCAAGAAATAGAATAGAATTTAACGCATAAAAATACCTGAGAAAGTTTTTATTCAAGAAATCTCCTGAATTGATTCCTTTAGCAAGAGCTAGAGTAAGAGTTGGCACATAGACACCCGCGTAGGATTCCCCAGAGAGGAAAAATGATCGATTCGAGTAGTTTGGATAGCTGAAAATCGATTTAGTGCTTCGTTTGACTACGTTGTTTTGCTATCAACTGACTGAGCCGCCGAAATGCTATCCGACCTATACCATTCGACGCAGAATTTTATGCTAATTCCGACTAGTGTATTCCGTTCTTGCTAAATGACAATCTGCAAGGAGTTATAAGCGTTTAAAGTTTTGTTAGGACTTTGAAAATGTGGTCGGCCATTTGGGACTTAGCGGCCTTCTTGCGGACTAAATTCGGTGCAGTTGTGGCCGAGTGGTACAGCGAAGTAATCTCTGAGCTTTGGAAAGGTTGAAAGTTCAGAGGAAAGTACGAAAAATGAGAACTGAATGTACTTTTTTTGTGGCAGAATCTTTTTTAAGTGGATTTTTCAACAAATTAAGAGAGCTTAAGTCAATGAATTTCTTTTATTGATAGAGAATACTTGAAATTTTAGTATTTATTATCTCTTTCTACACGAGTTGAGTCATTTTGTTTTGTTTTTTTTTTTTGAAATTCGAGCCTCGACTTTCAACAATGAACACTAAAAAGTTGTTTTTTTTTCAAAAAATTTTAAAGAGAAAGCTTATAATTTAAAGTATAGGAAAAAAAACTAAAAAAGTCTACTCAAAAAGAAGCTAATCTAGCATGTGATAACAACGAGTTGCGTTCACTCAATTAAAAACTCTTCCATAACTCTTTTCTAATTCTCTTCCAATAAGAATTGCCAGAATTTGGAATCAACTTCGCAGAGTTTTGAGAGAGTCCAATAGTCTCGAAATCTTTAAATTATCTGTAGATGATCTTGAAGCTCTAGTGGACTCTTGACGTTATCTGTACTACCCATATATTATTGGGTTGATGAATTGAAAACTGCGGGCTATTGTCATATGTGACAGTTTGAGCACTTTCTTCAAAAGAAATCCATTTTGGTGTCAATGGAAAAGTTGTAGAGAATCAAAAATTAAGTTTATATCCAAATTTAAGTTTATAAGTTTATATCCAGAACGATTCAAAAACTGGTTTTCAAGAAATGCCAAATTTACGAATTTTCACAAAACTTGCATTCTAAACGAAACTACTAAGTGTATCTTTTTGGAAATTTGGATATAAGCTTAATTTTTGATTCTCTACAACTTTTCTATTGACACCAAAATGGGTTTCTTTGAAGAAAGTGCTCAAACTGGGACATCTCCAGTCCTCCATTTTTGAGTCTCACACTTGTCTCACACACAAACCAAAATCCTACTACGAAAGAGGAATCCGCAAATTGCTTGTAAAATGGGCAGAAGTCGTCAATAATAATGGAAATAATTTGAAATGAATCCATGGCTTTATTTTGAATAAATTTTAGTTTTAAGTCCGGCAGTTTTCACCAACCCAATAAAAAGAGGAAATCTGTTAGAGAATTTACTTTTTATCTAAATAATAACTAATAACATGTTGCAAAACTGACTAGCTCTAAAATAAACGGCCTTAGTTGGGAACTTTTGGCGCATCCCCATACAGTCCGGACCTCGCCCCTTCTGATTACTATTTATTCCGGACCATGAGTAATGAGCTTTCGGGGAGAACACTTCGATCCAGAAGAAGCAGTCAAAAATTGGCTTTGAAAGTTTTTCGATTCAAAACCAAAATCCTACTACGAAAGAGGAATCCGCAAATTGCCTGTAAAATGGGCAGAAGTCGTCAATAATAATGGAAATTATTTCCGAATGAATTCATGGTTTTATGTTGAATAAATTTTAGTTCAAAGTCCGGCAGTTTTTCAATTCACCAACCCAATACATACATTATATCGTGTTGCTTTTATCGGCCCTTTTCGTCTTATGTGTGTATGAATTCATGTGCGTTAATCTTAAATCTAGCGCACTTTATTTCAGGCCCTGAATAAAGTATCTCTATAAACAAAGCAAATCATTCTATTGGAATAAATTTATTGCTAAATAATGTAAACTCGAAAATTCCCATCGTTTCCTCCCATTTCAACTTGATTTCTCTTCTTGAGTTGCCAAATCGAGCTTTTTCCTTTCTCGATTACCCGTCTCACTCATTCATTTTGAGGACTTTCTTCTCTCAACAAGTGTCTCATCTTCCGATTTGAGCAGAAAAAAAACCAGTTTTCTTTTAACTTCACAAACTTATATTTGAGAAAAACTGTTCCTGCAGCTGCTTCTTAATGTTCTTTTTGCTAAAATCTAAACATATCCGTTTTGAAGCACCGAATTCTTAAGGAAAATCAATTGTTAATACAGAAAGAAAGGTACTAAGTGCACAAGAAAAGATGTGCTGCATTTTGACGCTCAAAGAAAACGCCAAATTAGTCCTCTAGAAAGCGAATGTTTCGATTTTCGAGCACAAGGTATACTTGAAGTAATTGAAAGTGTAAGATGAATGCCTCATAAACTATTTTAGATTTTCTAAGACCTAGGACAATCTAAGAAGAATGTTAAAAAAGTTAGATAATTCAACCACAAGTAGAGTTATGTTTAGAACTTCTGACATTAACATCAACCAAATCAACCAACCATCAACCAACCATTTTTCTAAAGCCTTTCTAAAATCAAACTTTTTAGCTTTTCAAAGAATCTCGACTGAAGGCTTATTATTATATTTAAGAAAGTAAAATCCGTCATCCCGAAATGGAGAAAGTGCCAACGCTTTCATCGAACAATTATCCGCACTCAAGATTTTTTAGGGAATCTTTTTAGAGAATTCTTCAAAACAACGGTCCAAAAGAAGGGAGTCAATGGAAGGGAATGGAAAGAAAATGGATTCAGAAAGAGGAAGAAGAAAAGAAAAGAAAAGAAGAAAGGAAAAGGAATGAAAAGGTGTCAAATGGATATAGTCCTTTATAATAACTAGACTCATTTTCTTTTTTTTATTTCTTTTCTCTTCGAATCTTTTTGCATTCGATCCAAAAGGGATTCATTTTCGGATTCATCCCAGTTCACCCCAAAATGAAATAGAAAAATAAATAGAATGGCAAAATCGGAAAGAAAGACTACGCCGTTTAGAAGGCGCATTATTGAACACAACTCTGTGGTTACCTAGTAATTTTCTCTTTGTGAAACTAAACGTATTTTTAAATTTGTTAATTTGTTTGTTTGTTCGTTTCTGTTCATTTGTTTGTTCTAAAGATTTAAGATAAAAGCTAGGTTACGATTTTTGTCAAAAGCAGTTAAATACTGTAATAATAGCCCCATTATTTTTTTCAATAAGAAAGAAATTTGCATAGTAATTGGCTATCAGAAATTTTGGAAACAAATTAAAGATTCGAGAAAGAAAGAAAGAAAGAAAGAAAGAAAGAAAGACCACTCATTAAAGAAACAGTTTTCAATTAATTTATTTACGAAAACAAGTAACTGAGTAACCATAGTAGGAATCGAACCATCGGGCTTAAAAAAGTGAATCAGCTGGTTCTCGGCATCACTTGAATTGATTCCAACACAACAGCTTCCAACAACAACACAACACCGAAAAGGATCGACGAATGACTTCTTCCGAAATTGACTCAAGCATCAGCAACCCATTTTAAATAGATTTCCATTTCAGGAGCCTTTCAGTTCACACCTTTCTCCCAGATGCTTGCAGTAAAATCCAATCCTCGTAAAACTGTCGAACCAGAAGAACCATTCCAAGCCACATCTGCATATTGAACAAACTTCGTAGTGCCTTAATAATCAAAATTTTTCACAATAAAAGATAAAAAAACAGCAAGTAGTGTTAATGATTTTTTAAATGCGTAAATCTATTTAGAGAATTATGAAAATCTAGTGCGAAAATCAAAATCATTGTTGCGAAAATCATTGTTAGCTACTAGTCAATTAATTTTAGCAATTTTTGTAAAGAAAAGATGGGAAAGGTGGAATGATTTCGAGCAATTTCGAGCAAACGACTTCAACACTGAATACATCACGTTTTTTAGTAAAAAGCAAACGTAATAAAAGCGTTTAAGCAGCAAACGTAATAAAAGCGTTTAAGCAGCGAACGTAGTAAAAGCAAAAACCATTTTTTTAAACGCTACAATGGGTAAAGTGAATAATAATAATAATAATACTTTATTCAAACGATAAAGTGAAAGAAATCATAGAGAAATGCACAGTGATACTTAATCATACAATACATACTGAAATCAATAAGCCAATTACTTACGGCAAAGCGCCACTAGATCTAAAGCATCGATACGTTTCTTGAATATGAAAAGCGACTGAATTTCTCGTATGTCGTTTGGGAGCAAGTTCCATAATCTAGCGCCTCTAACGGGAAATGAATTTGATAAAGAGGCATTGGAAACAAAGGGAATTTGCAAAAGGAATGAGCCACCTCTGGGCCCTGACCGCGGTTTAAATTTGAAAAAGTCTATAAACAAAGGGCTAATCTGTTTACAACGGAGGATTTTGAAAGTTTGAATGCAATCCTTTTGACTGAATATTTCGCTATTTCAAGGAAAAGCCAAATACAGCCAAATACAGCCAAATACAATTTCGGAGGTTACTATTACAGCTTTTACGGTAATCAAATCGGAAGCTTATTTTAAATTCTTTCAAAAACTTTGCAGTTTCACTTTTGGAGCTAAAGTTTATTTTATTATTTTGTAAATTCTTTCACAAAAAACACAACAATCATCAATTTTCATCATCAAACCCGAAAGAAACGAAATAAAAATCTTTTTTGTAGATAAATAATGAGTGAAATATCCACAACATAGACTAGCATGAGCTGCTTGGTTGTGGATCTGTTTGTGAACTGGTCTCTTGAAAACTCGTCCTCGCCGGGCCATCGAGAGTTCCCGTTTGCTCCCAAAGCTCAATGTCGAAATGTTCGGCTCCGGGCAGGAGAACCATTTCTGTTTCGTCTCGATGAAGTTCGGTTCGCTCTTGGTCAATTTGATTAACCTCACCTCTAAATTTATACCTGTCTTTAACTTTTTCAGTTCAAAGTTTCTGTTCTCACAATTTTGAAACTACAGTGACTGCTGTTAGAGCATACGAACTTACACAGTGATTGCTGTTTGAGCATACGCCTCGTATATACCAGCTCGTTGGAAAACACGTATGGCCGCCTCATGCTCATTGAAAGCCTTATCTTTTTCGATGCGTTCTTCAGGTATTGTTTGTAGTAAAATTTATCTCTAAATTTAGTCTAGATTGGTTTTCAATTGAGTTGAGCCTGAGTTTCAGATAAGAAATGGATCCCATACCATTAGAAAGGTCAAAAGCAAATGCTTCAAGTCAAAAGGTCAAAAGCAAATGCTTCAACGAAGCCCTAGAGCTGGCTAATCAGAAAAAAATGACCCTAGCCAAAGACAAACCAATCAACCCTAGCCAAAAGACAAGCCAAGGACTTCACGACTTGATCAGGAAAATTCTCCAGTATCTAGGTAAACGTATGGATCCCATACCATTAGAAAGGTCAAAAGCAAATGCTTCAACGAAGCCCTAGAGCTGGCTAATCAGAAAAAAAAAATGACCCTAGCCAAAAGATTATCAAAGATTATCAACCCTAGCCAAAAGACAAGCCAAGGACTCCACGACTTGATCAGGAAAATTGTTCAGTATCTAGGTAAACGTCACTTAACATCTATAGTATAACGCTAACTTATCCTTTTTAATCTGACTGCAATAGTGGTGCAACCGATTGCTGTTGGAGTCCAACTGACTGCAATAGTCGTGCAACTGATTGCTGTTGGAGTCCAACTGATTGCTGTTGGAGCAATAGTAAATGTGCAACTCACATTCGTCCCGTTGGCTCTTTGCTTAACCATTCCTGTGGCATTTTCAAATAGGGAAAAATGCGTGGATGAATTACCCGGTAGAGCATTTTCAGAATCCAGAAGAAAAAAGAAAAGCTAAAGTTAGTGTTTTTTTTTTCCAAAATTTTAATAGAATCAATTTTAATTATAAGCAATTGTAAGCCTTACGTCTTTAGCCATTCATAGATACTTTTCCAAATGGAAATGCCAATCAGCCAATCAGTCTTTACATTAGTTGCAGAAGTCATTAAAATTTCAAAAAATCTAAATTAATGACGCAAAAAGAACACAACCTTTGTGTAGCATTTTCAGCGAAAGAAACGAAAAACAATCGATGTAACAGGCGCTCTCATTTTCATTTTTCCAATTCACTGATAAATTGGGTAAGATTTCTCACGAGCCATGTATACTTTTGGGTTACGATTTTTGTCAAAAGCATCAACCCCACTTCCTGATACCTTTCTTTGTTTACAAAATCGGTTTTGTTTCTGAAACTGTGATCTTGCTCTTGATGTATTTGATGAATTTCATTCATGATTTCAAACTATCCAAACGATTTTTATTTATTGCACTGATTAAGCAAAGCATAGAGGAAAGGAATGCATAAAACTGTTGCTTTCAAAAGCTCTGTAGTAGCTGACTCAGGAGGCATTTTGGTTGGTGTAGTTGGCATGAACGTGTTCTCTGGTCGCGTTGTCAGGATTTCGGTTGTTGAAATCTGTGGTTGTGGTTATGGTTGTTGTGGTAGTTGTTGTTTGTCTTGATGTAGTAGTAGTTGTTGTTGCTGTTGTTTTGTTAGTTGTTGGTGTTTCCGTTGTTGTAGTTGTCGTAGCTGGCACTGTTATAGTTGAGCCTTTAGTTGTAGTCGGCACCTTTGTCGTTGTTGGCGGTTTGATCGTTCTTCGTGTTCGTGCAGTAGTTGGCACTTTCGTTGTGGTTGGTGCGGATTCGCTAGACAAAGTTGACGAGGCTGTGGAAATTTCTGTGGTCATTTTCGGTTCTTCGGCTTTCGAGACACGAACTCTTGCTATTAGTGCTATTAGCCAGAGCCTTTAGTCAGAGCTTCACCAGCAGGCCAAGAGAACTGAAAACAGTTTTTTTTCTAGTTCTTTATCTAAAAACATTTTGGTTTTATACTAACAATAAGTCAAGGTTGGATACTTGACTTGAGGTGAATGCTTTGAAAGATTTCATTCGATTATCTAAATTATTCAGTTAGCTCCATGCACTTTTGTGACTCTAGGGATCGGTCATGGTACGACAGCCGAAGAGACGATTAAGGTTGTTAAAAGGGAAAAATCGTACTGTATTTTAATAGGTTTTAAGATAATTATTGGGTTGGTGAATTGAAAACTGTCGGACTTTAAACTAAAATTTATTCAACATAAAGCCATGGATTCATTTCAAATTATTTCCATTATTATTGACGACTTCTGCCCATTTTACAGGCAATTTCCGGATTCCTCTTTCGTAGTAGGATTTTGGTTTGTGTGTGAGACAAGTGTGAGACTCAAAAATGGAGGACTGGAGATGTCCCAGTTTGAGCACTTTCTTCAAAAGAAACCCATTTTGGTGTCAATGGAAAAGTTGTAGAGAATCAAAAATGAGGCTTATAGCCAAATTTCCAAAAAGACACACTTAGTAGTTTCGCTTAAAATGCAAGTTTTGTGAAAATTCGTAAATTTGGCATTTCTTGAAAACCAGTTTTTGAATCGTTCTGAAAATTTGGATATAAGCTTGATTTTTGATTCTCTACAACTTTTCCATTGACACCAAAATGGGTTTCTTTTGAAGAAAGTGCTCAAACTGTCACATATGACAATAGCCCGCAGTTTTCAATTCATCAATCCAATACAATACTCTAATAGTAGAATACAATGCACTCGTGAATAAACACAGAATCAGAGCAAAAGTAGATAACTAGGATGACTAGAAACTAGAGTATGGTACTTTTTTTGAAATTTGATACGGTTTAGAAAAAGCTTTTACTTACTGGCGAACAAGTTTATGTCAAAGTTTGTCATTTCTGCGAATGCGATTAGTGAATGAAAATTAGTGAATAAAAATCAAAAATACTTCCTGATAAAGAAGCCACTAAATTAAAATGCATTCGAATGCTCGTAAAAAGTCTAAATGAAAAATAGAACAAAGACAAGTTAGATCAATTGTCATTTTGTTGATTTTCTGATTGTAAGCATGTCTTGTTTATCTGTTTCTAGCTCTTTAAACTATTAGCAAAGTTTTCTTCAATATCACGAATCATTTTGAGCTCAAAATGTATTGAATTTGTTTTTAATGCTCTATTTTTGAAACTTTTCCTGTCTGCGGGTGATTTATTCAAAAAAAAATCTGTTAAAAGCACCAAAAACTTTACTTTTAAGAAAATGAGCATCAAAATTTTGGCATTTCTTTTGGATTCATCTGAACAGTACAGAGGGCCCGCTCGAGGATCGCAATCAATTAGCAGCGCGAATTCAAAGAAAACTTTTGATCTTCAATCAAAGATCGATCTCGAGCGGGCCCTGGGCAGAGATTTTCAAGAAAATAGGGGGAAGAGGGCAGTGAATGGAAAGGAATTGTGAGAAAAAGTTGAAAATTATAATTGAATAGAAATATTTAGGCACATCTTCATCATTTGGTGGATCGAAAGGATCAATTGCGGGAAAATCGGGAATATGATTGTTTTCGAAAATTTCTTCTTTAGCACTGTTCAGATCGATTTCCTAGACGTGTTTGTATTTGGTGAATAAGAGGTGGAGAAGGCGCAGAGTCGATTTCACATCACCGTTTGCGATGTCAGCAACCTGAATCGAATATCGAAATACTTTTTATTAACACATTCGCGACGAGGTGTTTTTTTTTTGCGTTACTGCCCCAGTGGACGAGAGATGTCTCGCAAAGCTATTAGCCCCGAAATACACCTCCTATATGTAATATGTCATGCTGAATCCGAATCTCTAATCAGATTTTGAAAATATTGCTGCCTCAAAAAAATAACGGCTCTTTTTGGCTCGTGAGACAAAACGCCGCATTTCTCTTCTTTATCTGGTATCTTAGCTTGAATTCCTTTTTTATATCTCTTTCCATTATGATTTGAAATGACTGACCCGAGATCTCGGCTTGATTCCGACTTGTTCCATCAATTGATAGGCGAATTGCACGTTTTTCATTTTCTCCTCATGAGTGGACACCTAGAATTTATAATTCAATGTAATCAAATTCAAAAGATCATTTCAAAGTAAACAATTACAGAATATAATAAATTTTTGAGTATTACCTGTAAATGGAAATGATGCAATGGAACAAAATATCCCTCTAAGAGTCCCATCATTAAAACGAGGAAAACCCCATCTTGAAATTGAGTTTCAATGTTGGAAACCTGAAAATAGAAGTCTAATTAAACAAAGGTCGATTTTACTTTTAAATTTCACCTCCAAATTGATTTTGTTAAGATGTTTATTGCAAAAAGCCAATAGAGATCCCTTGACGTGAGCCAATTTGTCCGGTCCGTAGTCGAAAAGAGTATCAAAAGCGTCTCGTTCACCCTGGAAATCACTTTAAATTCATACTTTTTTATATTATAAATATCCATTAGGATTTCTATATGTAGATTTTCTATATTAATTATTTAAATTTTACCTTCAGGCACTTTGGTTTAAAGCTTTGCCTTTGTTTTTGATAGCTTTTAGCGATAATCTTTAGATAAGGCTAGACGTTAGTATAATACAAGTTAGTATAATACAAGATATTATGATATAAGCATAATATCATAATATCTTCCATTGAATTAGATTTTGTTAACTTTTATATAGATTTATTTGAATAAGATATTGCAAGTAACCTTTGGGCAAAGTTCTTCTTGTTTCTTGTTAAATATTATAAATATCTATTAGGACTTACATCTGTAAATTTTCTATCTTAATTATTTAAATTTTACCTTCAGGCACTTTGGTTTAAAGCTTAGCTTTTATTTTTGATAGCTTTTCGCGATAATCTTTAGGTAAGGCTAGACGTTAGTAAGCATAATATCATAATCTTTAGGTAGACGTTAATAAGCTTTCATCTTGATCTTTTTTTGTACACGTGAGTTTTTTATTGCTTTTCTTTTCAAATCGTAATTTACTGTTTTATATATTGGGTTGTCCAGTTATGAATGCGCGTTTTTTTATTATTTTTTAAATTTCTCATGATACCGAAATCAAGAAAAAGATATATATGAGTATTATTCGAAAGCTGAAGCTCTCCTCTACATTTTGATATAAAAACGTTTTTGAATTTGTTCACCTTTTGGGCAAATTGATGGCACAGAAGAAGAGGTGGCCAAAAAAAAAATGGAAGGGTGCCTTTGAATCATCCCTTTTGGCTCCGCTCAAAGTGAGTTAACCGTTTGATGTTTGGCAAATAGATATATCAATACAGCTTTTTTTAAAATATAACAATTGCAGAGCATCTTTACTTTTCTTTCCTGGGAATAGCTAAGCTGAAATGAGTTTTTAAGTTTTCTCAATAAAACTTGAGGAATAGCTAAGCTGAAATGAGTTTTTTTCGGAAACGACCCTTTGTGCTCATAACTTGTATTGAAGCTTGATTCATTAACTTTTATATTGATTTATTTGAATAAGATATTGCAAGTAACCTTTGGGCAAAGTTCTTCTTGTTTCTCGGTGAGAATCTCCGTTGCGTAACGCGTTTTCACCTGACCATTTTCCTTGCGAGCGAGCAGGATCTGAAAAGTTTTAAATAAAACATAGAGTTCTTTAGATTTTCATGATGTATATCATTAGTTTTAAATAGATAAATAAATAAATTCACAATCAACTATTCACTTTAGATCTTTAGATTCTTTCTGTATTGTTTACCTGAGCATTGACGTGCTCTGGGAAACGAACGGGTGCTCGGAAATGAACAGCCAATGAAACCAAGAGTTGAATGATTGCCACGATGTCCTAAAGTTTTGAAATTTTGATTTAATATTTGGAAAATTTACTTGGTTATATTGTTCAAAATATATTGTATATTTTAGACAATATATTGTATATATTGTTCCAAAATATTCAGTACATGCATAAGAAATGCGGATTTCAACATTTCAACATTTTCATAGAATTTCCAACGATAGAAACCTGATGTTATAAACTAGAATCAATGAATGTTAAAAACTATTTGAAAGTTGTAAATCTCCTCTACAAAATAGGCTAAAAGGTGTTTCAATTGATCGAAGTATTGAAGAAATTTCGAGGGCGAAATGCGAGTGACCGAAAAAAGGAATCGAGCCACTTTAGGGACAAGTTTAGTGTGCTCAAAATAGAGTTAGCTTCCCAGAATTGAAGATTTAAAAAAAAGAAAGGATAACTATATATGAACGAAAAAGTTTTCCCATGAAATGATCCGAACTCTTAATTATTTTGAATGATATTTGAATGCTTTTGAATGAAGGGCGGTCACTTTTAGCCAAAACCGAAGCTAACTCTATTTTGAGCACACTAAACTTGTCCCTAAAGTGGCTCGATTCCTTTTTTCGGTCACTCGCATTTCGCCTTCGAAATTTCTTCAATGCTTCGATCAATTGAAACACGTTTTAGCCTATTTTGTAGAGGAGATTTACAACTTTTCAAATAGTTTTTAACATTCATCGATTCTTGTTTATAACATCAGGTTTCTATCGTTGGTTCAAGCCTCATCAGGTTTCAACATGAAAATGTTGAAATGTTGAAATCCGCATTTCTTATGCATGTACCTAATAGTTTAATTCTTATAATTTTCAAATGACGGAGCAATGATGAGCCTTTTCTTTCAATTTCTTCTTTTTACAGTACTTGATAGATGTCTAATCGGCACTAAACCTTTTGATGAATCATTTCAGGAGTCCATTGAGCGTTTTCATACTGTCCGGGGGTTAAAATTCGATTCGCTGTCGAGACAACAATGTCCAATTTCTGTCGTTGTCCCTCCTCGGATTGAGAAACCTCAGGCACTTCGATCTGAAATTGGCTCACTGTCTTCAAGTTGATCTGCTTGTCTACCCGAATCCCAGCGAGCTTCTCAATAAGCTTTTGCAAGACTTGACCGTCATAGAGATCATCTTGAATGTTCTTCACAACAATTCTCTCCTCAGCCACCTCGTCATTGATCCAACTAAAGGTTAAAACGTTTCTTATCTTATAAACGCTAACTTTTAGTTATCTTATAGTTCGATAACTGTTTGATAACGGTAAAACGTTATCTTATAGTTTGAAAAATAAGAAGTCAATCAAATTTCTTGATCTAAGAACTAACCCAAGAAGCAGACGAACGACCTCGTGAACCCGAGGATCGTCGCTGGATTCTCTCGTCAAGAAGCGACGCTCAGTTCCTGAAAAAAAGAAATAAACTTTGTACTTTCTTGTTACACCATTTCATTATCAATCCTTCTCGTAAAATTTCCACTTTGATTTATACTTTATTGATTTGAAAACAAATTGAAGATGGATATAAGAAAGGAATTTGCAAGCAATTGCAAGAGAAAGGCAACATTAGGATTTGGCTAAATGAAGCCCATAGATGATTTGATCTCACACTGATAGCCAATCTCACACTGATTCCGAATCTGCTTTCCGTTTTTCCAAAATCATTTTCTATAAGAAGTTATACGTGTTTTAAGTTTTAAGGTAAAAATACGAATTTTGAGCGGATGCCTTTATGATGGTTTTCTCATCAGCATCAGACAGAGCTTGGTGGTATAGTGGGTTAAAGGTTGGGTCAAAACGAGCGCTGCTGTTTTTGCTCGAGTTCTATTCCTTTTCGCAATACTTTTGTTTAGTGTTTTGATGTTTTAACACCTGACTAGGGAAGGCCGTCCACTCAAGGTGGAATTTCAGAACGATAGGGAATCCAAAGCTTTTCATGGGGAATCCAAAGCTGCTTTTAGTTTTTCCTAAATAGCAAATAAATGCAAGTTATTTAGCAAAAAACGTTTTTGGCATTTCTATTTGAGGCGCGCACACTAACACACTAACTTTGCTTTACAGATGCCGTGGTGGCCAAATGGATAAGAGATTTGTCTCTAAAACAAGCTAGGGTTCAATTCCTTTTCGTCAAGCGTTTGTTTAGTGTTTTGATGTTTTAACATCTGAATTTTATCTGCCTTTAAAACTATTATGTTTATAGTATTTTATTTTTTAAAAACTATGAAATTAACATTGAAAAAAAGCCGATTTTTGCCTCCGAAACCTCAGAAACATCCGACTGTTGCCTTTTTCTTCCAAATTCACTCAAAGAAATTCTTGATCTCGGGCTTCTTGGCATAAATTTGACAAGATAAGAAGCAAAATAGTGTCAGCAATTCACGCAATGTCAAAAATAATAGAAAATTGCTTTTTTTGTGATGTAGAAATCAAAAATGGTATGCAAAAGTGCCGTAGATTTTAAAATACAAATTTTAACAACTACAACTGGCATAACAGAGCACCCTAAACTTCTTTTGTCATGAATAACATTAAATAGAATACCCTTAGGGAATTTATCTTTTATTTATCTTTCAGATTTTAACTTCAAACCTTCAGCAATCTCAATCTTCTTCGAAACGGCTGGAATCAACGCGTAGTCGAGCGCCTCACGCCCATCGTGATCAAGCTGAAAAATGGAGTTGAAAGCTGTATTTGAATTTAGATTTGAATTTGAATTTGAATTTGATTTTGAATTTGACTTTGAATTTGAGTTTGAATTTGAGTTTGAATTGCAAGTAAACCTTGAAAGCTAAGTTTAAAAGATAGAATAAAAAAAGAAATTCAATTTGAAAATAGTCGCTTACACGCTTACACCCGCTTACACCAAAGCTGGAGCAGCTTGCTATAAAAAAAACCCAAACTTGAAACAAACTATTGGACAATTCTCTTGCACAAACTTAAAACTCTGAATATCAACGTTGGCGCTTTAAAGTACAATCCCCGGCTACCGTAATCCTAAGCTAATGCTTGCCAAACTTGCACTAGCTCTGGTTACGCTAGCCCAAGCAAGCTTTAGACCCGAGTCGACTTTCGGAAAGTTTGTGAAAGGATGAAAAATTGACAACTGGTTTTTTTCAAAATATAAATAGCTTTATCAATTTTGAACTGATTCTCTCACCAACCTGGCTAACTTCTTTCCCTTCTTGTTCTTGTGGATCTTGTGGTTTCCCCGGCGCATCTCCCGCATCTTTTCCATCTTTTTTCTTTCGTGACAAAGTTCCCGAAAGCTTGTCCATAAACGATTCGCTCTGAAAGTAAATCTTTTAAAATTATATAAATTTTGAATAAAATAATATCAAGATACGATCTGGTTCTAAATCTGAATCTGGTTCTGGCTCTAGCTCTGGTTCTAGCTCTGGTTCTGGATCTGGTTCTGAATCTGGCTCTGGATCTGGTTCTGGCTTCCACTAGTTGATTCTGGACTTGAATCTAGCCCTGGGATTTGCCTGGATTTAGATCTTTTCCTAGCCCTGTGACCTGGCCCTAGCCCTGGCCCCCTAGGCAATGCTTCCAACTCTGGGGCTTAGCTTGTTTTGAAAACCCCCACTAGCCAGCCCTGTCGACTTTTCTTCTAGATCTCTGAACCTGAGGTGATATTTTTTCATGGTCAAGATACGATTTTTGAGAAAATCTGAAAAGAATCTGAAGAAGTTGAGTATTACAGAAGTTCAAGATCATTTGAATTATTCGCTGAGATTTGGCATTTTACCGCATTTTCTCTAATCCTAGTGCATCCCGACGAGCCGAGTTGGTGACTATTTTACGGTTTCCAAGTTTTTGCAGAAGCTCAACACTCAAATCCCCCCAAGATCTCATCGTCAGCTACCTTCTCCAATCCCACATCGATAGGTTTTGATAAGTGCTTTTCGAGATTTCGAGGAATTTAGGCGACGCTCAGGGTGCACTACTATTAGAGAAAAGACAGTAGTTATCTTTAGATATTTTGCTTTAGATCTTAAGTCTTTAGATCCTTCGTCTTTAGATCTTTAGCCTTTAGATCTTTAGATCTTTAATCTTTAGTTATCTTTAGATATTTTAGATAATCTGTAATACTTCTACAAATAGCTAACTTTAGATATTAGTATTTTATCTTTTTATCGATTTGTTCTTAACAATTAAAACAATCTTTTTCCTATAGCTCACCTTTTTCGAGCGCATCGTGTCGGTTTGTCGAGTCTCTTGCCGAGTCTCTTGCCGACGAATCTCTTGTGCAGCCATCCCACTTTGAATCATTTTTGAGATGACTAGGGAAAAAAATTGTTAAAAGTAGCTATAGAATTTATAAAACGAAAGCTCTGATTCAAAAAACTCTGAAATAATAACGAAAATGGGTAAAGAAATCTTGTCAAACAAACTAGAAAGGCAGTGGAAAATTTTAAACGATACAAGTGAGTTATAAAACTATCTGATAAGAGTCAATTTTATGCAGAAAACTTTAAGACAACAAAAAATGAACTTTTATTTGTAAAATGTTCAAGAAAAAGATTAACAAAAGCAAAGCAAAGCAAAGCAAAGCCAAGCAAAGCAATTTTTAACATAGAAACAATAGATTTAGTCCAAAAGTTTGTACTTTGAAAATGAATTTATTTAAATGTAAATAAAAAGACGAAAATTGTAGTTAAAAGAAGAATTCTTTTGGGGCATTCGTTGTGCATTTTACAGCGTTTTCTCCGCCCGCTGGCTCCCAGCAAAAAAAGAGATTAAGAAAATAGAAGAGAACGTGGAGAAATGAGAAAAGAAAGGGGAAAGGAAAGGGAATTCTTGATCGATATTCAGTCACAACAAATGACTCACAGAGATTTGAGAGAAAGAGAAAGAGAAAGAGAAAGAGAGAGAGAGAAGGATGCCAAATAAACATATTGTGTTGAATTTAAAGAAATACAGTGGTTGGAATATCACTCCTTTTAGCTAAAGCGTTTTCTAAGTCAAGCTAGAATCTCACAATCAATAAAAGAGAATTTTTGAGTTTGCGGCAAAGTAATGACAAGAGGTAATACTCTTCTGGACTTCGAGAAAGAACAGATCGAAGGATACACTACGATCAGTTGATACACAGTTGATCAGGGTCTCTCGAATTTACTAAAAGTCGCTCCACTGCGAGGCAGAAATGGGCTTTCTTTGAAATTATCAAAAATCCAACTCCTCATTTAACACTGCCTTGTATTTTTACTCAAATCGTTTTTCTAAATTGTGGCATAACCTTTAAACTCCGAATTCTTGGCATCTTTCCCTCGTTTTAAGAAATGAAATTGATTTAGTATCTTTTGCCCAAGTGCACTATTCCTATACCTTATCGTATTCTCATAAAATTCTAGTTTTTTTAATCTTTTTCTTTAAAGAATTTTCATTTTTCATTTTTATCATTTTTATACTTTCTTTTTTTCTTTTGTATGTCTACACTTTTTCGAGTTCCTCTTGAATAAAGTAATTGGCATTTGTTGGTTATACATCCACAAAGACTCATCTCGGTGAAGCATCCCCATCCGAGTCTTCTCGGTTATCGATTCTCGTTCAACTGATCGACTGATCACTTCAGACGAGCACTCTACTTCACTTCATTGAACATAATCACCCCTTACAAGTTCACAGCTTCTTGCTTAACCGAGTTGAGTCTGTGGATTCTCTGTGGATGTAAAACCGACATGTACCCAAATTAGATTTTCGCTTGATATAATTCAAATTTTGGTACTTGTCAGTTTGTCGGTTTGTCGGTTTGTCGGTTATACATCCACAAAGACTCATCTCTTTGAAGCATCCCCATCCGAGTCTTCTCGGTTATCGATTCTCGTTCAACTGATCGACTGATCACTTCAGACGAGCACTCTACTTCACTTCATTGAACATAATCACCCCTCACAAGTTGTCAGCTTCTGCTTGCTTAACCGTTTTGAGTCTCTGTGGATGTATAACAGACAAGTACCAAGTAATTATATATCTCATCATCCAATCGTTTGAAAGAAAAGTCTTGTACTTGTTACCACTTTTGCATTTCATAACCAACAATTGCACATCCCATTTTGCATCTATCATTTTTAGATTCAATTGAGAGCTACAACTCTCACAGCTCCACGACAGATACACTACTGGACAATGAAATATGATATTCGAAAAAATATCGTCACTTTCGCGCGTCTGTAACTCCCTTGTCTTTACCGCATTTCTAAATATTAATATTATCATTGTGTAGCCATTGAAAAGAGCTTTCAGAAAATGTTTAACACTAATAGTTTAAACTCAAAGACAAGCGAGTTACAGACGCGCGAAAGTGACGATCGTTTTTCAAATATCATATTTCATTGTCCAGTACTGTACCTATCAAGTATTTAAAACTCGTTTTTGCTATACAGAAGCAAGTAAACAAGTTGCTAAATGTTCGGTGCCTAATTTGCCCATCGAATGATCTCGTACTCGTCCTTTCTCCATCTTTTTGTTTATCTTCATCTAGTGCTGCTCTTTTTTCGTGCCAAAACAAGCGAAATTCAATCGCTTCCAAACACAGAGTATAGCAAAATGCAAAAAAAAAGAATCTTTTTGAGTGTCAAATTTCGCAAAAAAAACGCATGAATACATATTACTGGGCTAAAATTGGAATAAGGGACCAATTGAAAAGGAAAATTTGTATGCTAATTTGAAATTTGAATGGAAATTTGAAGAAATTTGAAGAAATTATTTATTTCTTAGATTATTCAAGATATTTAGGTAAATATCTAACTACAATAAAAGCTAAAGATAACAAGAATCTTTGTGAAAATCCACTTTTCGCATCTTCAAGCGGAGAAAACTCGGCCCATCGATCGACGAACTAAATTTTAATTGTTATAAGACACAAAGTTTGTGTTTGTTTATCTATTCAGTTATAATTCAAATCCCAGTAGAGGTTTTGATATAATTTTTGAGGATAATATGTAATCGATTACGGCAGTTCAGCCTGTCAAGTTAGAATTAGAAAAATCTCTAAACGTTTTTGAGTAAAGTTGAAAAAATTGAATTTGGCGGTGAGATCAAAGTCTAGAGGCTTGGCTTAGCCTTTATTTTAAGAAATTTTATGGTTTATGGTTGCTTCAACAAAGGGAACTTTGGCTTTGATCGACTAGCGTTGATCGAATAGCTTTGATCGAATAGCTTTGATCAAATAGCTTTGATCGAATAGCTTTGATCGACTAGCTTTGATCCACTAGCTCTGATCCACTAGCTTTGATCGACTAGATAGCTTTGATCGAAGAGTTGATCAAAGTTTATCGTGCAATTCATTTTACTGCACAAGATTTGCATTTCAAAAAACTTTCTACACAAAATTTGCTTCTGTTTTACCTCTTCAGAGCTATAGTTGGACTTTCCATTTTCCCCGGTCCACATGAAATTCACAATGAATTGCCGCGCCGGTCCGGGTCGATCTGTTGAAGGGAAATGACCGGCACCCTGAAAATTTCTCTGTCATCTGCAGAAAAGTTTCTAACAAACCTTTACAGTCATCAAATCGAAAATCACTCCACTTTTCGCCGTGTACGTCTGAATGTAGCCGGCTGTTTGTTCAGAGAAATACCAATATTTGCGTTTACTTGTCTGAAACAACAAACAATACCGAACTGATGAGAGCTCTGGAAGAAAAACCTGGAGCCAGATCCAGATCTAGGCCAGATCCAGATCTAGGCCAGATCCAGATCTAGGCCAGATCCAGATCTAGGCCAGATCCAGATCTAGGCCAGATCCAGATCTAGGCCAGATCCAGATCTAGGCCAGATCCAGATCTAGGCCAGATCCAGATCTAGGCCAGATCCAGATCTAGGCCAGATCCAGATCTAGGCCAGATCCAGATCTAGGCCAGATCCAGATCTAGGCCAGATCCAGATCTAGGCCAGATCCAGATCTAGGCCAGATCCAGATCTAGGCCAGATCCAGATCTAGGCCAGATCCAGATCTAGGCCAGATCCAGATCTAGGCCAGATCCAGATCTAGGCCAGATCCAGATCTAGGCCAGATCCAGATCTAGGCCAGATCCAGATCTAGGCCAGATCCAGATCTAGGCCAGATCCAGATCTAGGCCAGATCCAGATCTAGGCCAGATCCAGATCTAGGCCAGATCCAGATCTAGGCCAGATCCAGATCTAGGCCAGATCTAGGATTTACTTCAAGCTTGAAAACCATAAAAAGTACCCAAACCTGTCAGAAGCCAGGTCTAAACCTAGCTTCTAACTCTCAGCTTCCTAGCCTTGTCTTTCTTTCTACATAGAATTTTGTAAAGCATCTCTACCGGGCAAGGCATGGATCAGAACAGAAGCCAAGCCAGGATTTGGGTTTGGCTTTACTTCAAGCCCAACCCTTTAGGTAAACTAGAAGAAGAGCCTTTAAGAAGACTTAGATTAGCCAGGGCTTAGCCAGACCCGACTTAGAAGCAAGACCCGACTTAGAAGCCAGGCCTATGATATACAGGTCTTGTAACAAAGAATCAAGAGCCAACGCCCATTCAGAGCCAGTGCTCATTCAAAGAAACCTTCATTTAAACAAACAGACAAAGAAACCTTCATTCCATTTCTGTCAGCCAGTCTCTTCATAAACCACGCGTCACCCAAATAATTGCATACTGTATCCACATCTCCGTTGTGAATCAGAAAACGAAAAGATGGATTTGTGTTTATTTTGAGAAATTCCTCAAAAATTGGAGTTAAATCTCTGTATGTCACGTTGTATCCATCATACATTGGATCACTAAAAATACTTTTACAAATCAAAATCTTCTAATCTTCTAATCTTCTAATCACTTGCAATCTTGCCATTCGAGTTTAGCGTCTTGCCAAGCTTGATCAATGTGAAGAGCCTGGAAATGCTGGTTTTGCTTCAGTTTCCGAATTATCTTCTACTTTCAACACTTCTGGACGTTTCGCCCAAGCGGTGAGGAGAAGCTCATTCCAACAAGGATAACCGTATTCGGTGTCCGTTGAACCGTAGTTGAAACCTTCCTGAAGTGAGACTCAAGAAGTTCTAATTGAGGAAAGATTGCTTCTTCAATAGCTTCTTCAATAGCTTCTTCTTCAATTGCTTTCATAAAGTTTTTGAACTTAAATTTTCACAAGTACAAAACCAAAGAAACTCTTTCCCAAAACCCACCGCTGGATTTTCTCTCTTCACACGATTTCTCGTCATCCTTTTCCTCATCAAATGCTCTCTCTTTCGATTTTTCTTTGTCTTTCGTTGCATTCGACGATCTTACAATATAATCTCATTTCTAATAGACAACTTTCCTTACTTAACGAGCTTTTCTTGTATTCATCAAGTGGTGAATCCATATAACAATCTTGATAATAGTTGTACTCGTCTTGGCTAAATTTATTCTAGAAATGATAAGCCCAAATCGACTCACTCTTCCGGCATATTGACCAATTGTTCGATCTGAAATTCTTTTCTTCAAACATTTTCCCTTAGAAGTCCCTCTTTCCCCACCAAATCCCCGCATTTCGATCCATCAGATTCATATTCTAATCCATCAATCGTTATCATATAATCAACAAAGTTGTACGTTTCCAAGTCACCAACAGTGGCTCCTGGTGTCGTACAATTCTTCTTCAGGAATTGCATCTCTCTGAAATCACATAGAACAATGGGAAATTGACTTAATCTAGAATCAAATGATTCAATTAGATCCAAACTGAAATTGGATTTTTTGTATCACATATGACAATATTGAAGTTCGACTGTATTTACACGCAGACGCAGATTTACATCACTAGACTCTATTGATTGAGTCCAGGAAAACGTCCAAGTCCAGTCCAATATTGGCTTTTCTTTTTTTTTAATTCTTTGGTATGACAATCATATGACAATCAATCAATCAATCAATTTTGTTAGTTTTAAATTAAACATCTTTTACTTAGTGATTTTGTTTTACTAGAAATCTACTTACTCCACAGAAACCATCGCGTGATAAGCTGACCAAATGACTTGAGAATTGTAAAGATATTCGACATGCATATAACCATTTCCGATATTTGATCCCTGATAAAGTAACGAGTACTTTTGCATCTTTATCCCCCCTCACCAATCAAGACATGCAAATTCCTCTAGCATTTCTCTAGTTGGCTAAAGATACCGGCAAAATAGTATAAAGCTTTATTGGAGTTTTATTAGAGTTTAAATTCATTCATTTTTTAGCTTAAATCTATTCAAAAACTATATAAAACTTAGGATAAAATCTGCTAAAATTTAAAGATAAAGTAAATAGTTAAAGATCAATTTGCATAATTAACTTGTTTGACAGGGAAAAGAACCAGAAAGTTCTTGGCAGAAGAACCAAGGAACGTAAAGACAATTAAACTTAGCCTAAATGAAAACAAATTGTAAAATCACCTTTCACTTCACTAAATTTCTCATTTTTCTCAAGAAATAGAATAGAATTTAACGCATAAAATACCTGAAAGTTTTTATTCAAGAAATCTCCTGAATTGATTCCTTTAGCAAGAGCTAGAGTAAGAGTTGGCACATAGACACCCGCGTAGGATTCCCCAGAGAGGAAAAATGATCGATTCGAGTAGTTTGGATAGCTGAAAATCGATTTAGTGCTTCGTTTGACTACGTTGTTTTGCTATCAACTGACTGAGCCGCCGAAATGCTATCCGACCTATACCATTCGACGCAGAATTTTATGCTAATTCCGACTATGTATTCCGTTCTTGCTAAATGACAATCTGCAAGGAGTTATAAGCGTTTAAAGTTTTGTTAGGACTTTGAAAATGTGGTCGGCCATTTGGGACTTAGCGGCCTTCTTGCGGACTAAATTCGGTGCAGTTGTGGCCGAGTGGTACAGCGTCCGATTCCAGAGTCCTCACAAGTTCGACTCCAGCTTTGGCTTTTGCTTTTTTCAAGAAGTGCTGGCTAGTGTTCTTTGTGCACGCGCAGAATCACATTCCATCTGGCACATCGCTTTCCATACATAAAGCCATAAGGTAATATTGATCAATCAAAGCGAGCGACAGCTGGATTCAACGATTCAAGCGAAGTATCAGGAGGCCTCACAACGGTAGAAAGAAAAGATTGAATAGTTTAAGGGAAAATATTTTCAGTACTTGGTCCACCATTCATAAGCTCACGAGGAAAGTCAACTGGCTGAGCCGGCCAAATGCCACCTATACCATTCGACGCAGAATTTTATGCTGATTTCGAATATATATTCCGTTTTTGCTAAATGACAATCTGCTAGGAGTTATAAGTGGCTAAAGTTTTGTTAGAATATATGTGGCCATTTGGGTCTTAGCGCTCTCCTTGCGGACTAAATTCGGTGCAGCCGTAGCCGGCTGGTACAACGTTCGTTTCCAGAGGGAAATCTCGCAGCTTCGATCCCGACTTTGGGTTTTTCTTCTAGTTAGGAGGATAACTAAATTTGTTTCCAAGAAAAGCATTAGAGATCAAGGAAAGGTCTAGATTGAAGCTTAAATGTCACATTGAAGCTTGTAAGTAGCTTACATATCACAGTCTGATACACTTCTGTTTCTAACCCAAATTTGCAAGGCCAACTCTTATTCGCTCAGAAGCAAAGCTTGACTTACACCTACACTACTGGACAATGAAATATCATATTTGCAAAAAGATCGCCACTTTCGCGCGTCTGTAACTCCATTGTCTTTACCGTATTTCAAAATATTAATATTACCTTTGTGTAGCCCTTGAAAAGAGCTTTCAGAAAATGTATAACACTAATAGTTTAAACGCAAAGACAAGGGAGTTACAGACGCGCGAAAGTGACGATCTTTTTCAAATATCATATTTCATTGTCCAGTACTGTAGCTTTTCTAACACTTTCTGAGCCAAACCTTGAGAAGAAGTCTTTCAAAGCTAGATAATTCATTTGACAAGTCTGATCATCGGTTGCCTCTGCATATGTGAAATTGGTTGTACTATAGGAGAAACCGACGCCAATTGGTGATTCGATGAATAGAAGATTTGCTCTCTAAAAGTTTATACAAAGAAAACAGGATTCTTATTACGTAATTCCACGAATATTTGTTTTCATATAATGTGCTCCCATCATCTCCCACATAAAATGGACCCATTTCTTCAAAAGCGCCACCAAAAGAGGAACAACCGGGTCCTGAAAGGCAAAGTTTTCGAATGCTTATTTTGCTTTCTTATGGAGACTTTGAGTCTAAGATCGAACATGATATGAAACAAAGAATTTATAGCTCATAACAAATGGCAGATGATTTACTGGTTCACTGGGTAACACTTAGGACAACAAGGATTTAATCGCGATTAGATTAAACTGGAAATTGGACTTTACGGTATCCCTGACCCTTTTGTAGACCAACAAAATGTTACCTCCATTAAACCAGATCAATAATGGATCAGTACTTGGATTTGTCTTTGACTCAACGAGCCTGAAAAGGAAATAAATTTAATGAATGATAACAAATGGCCGATGATTTACTGGTTCACTGGTTAACCCTTAGAACGACAAGGATTCAATCACACATGATAGACTTTTCAATTGTTTGACTTATGACTAAATTTTTGTACGCTGACAGCTTTACTAGCTTTTGACGAAACTCTATACCGTAAATACTGTAATAGTACCCAACCGCCCTCGTACAGTCGCGTAGTCGCAAATGTTTTTTAGTATTTCACTTTTTTCAAAGCACCCGTACTTTCAAAAAGTGCGTCTTTGGTATCAAAAAATAGCTGAAATTCAGCGCTATTTTTTGATACCTAAGTGCGCATTGTAGCATAAACCAGTGTCGAGAAAAACACGTTCAAAGCTAGACTACACAACACTCCGCACCGTCATTATGGATACTATTACAGTATTTACGGTATGAACAATTGCCCACTCACCAATAGTACATTTTCCAGCTTCCATCCTTATTTCCCGTCAAATATCCAGAGAAAACGTCGAAATTTTTCTTGAAGCTTAAACCCGGTAGATTGGTTACCGGAAATTTTATTGTTTTAAAAATCAGAAATTTTTTTCTTAAACTCACTTTATCTTGACTAGGATTTGCCGCAAAACTCTCGAAAATCAAAGTGAAACTGATCAGTAAAAATAGCATTGTTTTATGTGAAATATTTGAAGTGAAAATTTATGCGATTATTTTTGAGGTGTGCCACTGCAAAAACGTGATAAGAAACTACCAAAGAATCGAAAAAAAAGCCAATATTGACACTTGGACGTTTTCCTGGACTCAGCACTGTAGAGTCTAGAGATTTCGTGTAAATGCAATTGAACTTCAATATAACGAGCTTCGATACAAATGAAACGGTTCCTATTTTATTAGGTTGATGCATAAGTCTTTTCGTTCCTTTTCGTCTGCCGTTTCAAGCCAACAAATGCACGAATTAAACTACGGTTGATTTCATTAGAAAAAGCAATTATTTTTCTGCAAAATAACATTAAAACGGGTTTAAAAATATTGAATGCCTGGATTTTCTTGAGAGTATGAAGTCGGGTAGTCAAAAAGGGCTAACTCGATGATGCGGTTTAGACACCTTAGCTAAAGAAAACCTATCTTCGTGTCAATAGATAAAAGATAGAGAAGAAAAACGTTTGATATTTCGCCAAAATTTCAGAGAAATTCATTCAGCCAATTTTTCCGTAGAGTTTTTTATAGATTTTTACGAAAAAGGCGTTTTTCACTCTCGAATTTGCTTGAAAGTGAACCGAAATTCATTTAAAAAGATGCAAATTCAACAAAAAAACACTTTTTTATAGAGCAAACTATAGATTAATTGGTGAATTTGTTACTTTTTAACAGAAGTACGAAAAAAATGAAAAAGACTTTTGCATCAACCTAATAATATAATACGGTTCCGATACGGTTCCTATTTGGATACGATACGGTTCCAATACGGTTCCGATTAGAAATTCTAAAGCGTGCCCAAAATTTCTGCGTAGCTGCCCAAGCCATGTGCAATCAATGACCGTCCAGGGCATCGATGCAGAAAATTTGAGGTACTTTTTAGGTTCATTATATTGAAGTTTTCAGTACCGAGCGATTTGTTATATCAAAGTTCGATTGGAGTTAAAAGTAACAAAATTTTAAGTACATTTTCACGTTTTTCCACACACAAATTGTGAGTGTTCAATATCGAAAAATTTTCGAAAATTTCCCCTTTTTTTCTGTTTCTCTGTTTCTCTGTTTTTTTTATGGAATTGATAAAAAACTAAAATTTATCTCTAACAAATCTTTGAGCCGTTTCTTTTAGCAAATATTTTGCGAATGACAAATGATAGGGAGGGGTGAGGAATGACGAGAATTCGGCGACGGCGTGAAGAATCTCTCTCGGCAAATTGGGGATCGGAGATTGTAGAAGAACAATCTGAAATGGTTTCAATTCAGATTTTGAACTTAACGACTAGATGGTTTGTAGAAAATGACGCTAACAAAAAAAAAAACGCAACAGCTTTTTTTGAGACGAAATTTGGGGAAAAATGAAGAAAAAAAAATGGTACCATAAAATGAATGTGTAAAATTTTAGCCCACCCGCCCCTACTACGTAGCCAATATATGGGCAATATATGGTCAATATCTGGCTAGCAAAAGCCTTTAGCCCTAGGTAGCACAGTGCTTCACACATCGGCTAATATATGACCAATATATGACCAATATATGACCAATATATGGTCAATATATGATCAATATATAGTCAATATATGGTCAATAAATGTCTAGCAAAAGCCTCTAGTTAAAAAGTACATTTATACACACGAAGCTAGTACAAAAAATACAACCCCTAAGCCTAAATATAGGAAAGAAAAAAAACCCATAAAGAAAAAAAGAAAAAAACCCAAAAACACAATTCGGAATCAGCGTAAAATTCTGCGAATAATTTATGGCTCATGTCATTTGGCTAGCCTAATCTGTTGACTGGCTAGCCTATTCTTGTAAGAAACAAGACTCTTAGGCCAGTCAGCCATAACCACCTAGTTAGATGAAAATTTAGAAATCAATTAGACAACCTCTGTACATTTGAAGGGTCTTGAAATCGGGCTTTTACAATGTCGAATAATATATGGCTTATGTCATTTGGTCAGTCATTTGACCAGCCTATTCATTTTGATCTAATTGATATCTGTAACCTGTGATGACCGGCCGCCATTTCATCATAAGTCAACACATAAAATCCCTCCTCGAGAAGGGATCGGATGAAACGATGAAATTCGTCTTTCTGATTATCGTTTTGAGCCACGTGGACTTCGATGTTCACCTGTAAAAGTAGGGATGAGCTAGTTGAATTCTAGAGCCTGTTAGCCAGGCTCTAGAATGTTAGCCAGGCTCTAGAATGTTAGCCAGGCTCTAGAATGTTAGCCAGGCTCTAGAATGTTAGCCAGGCTCTAGAATGTTAGCCAGGCTCTAAAATGTTAGCCAGGCTCTAGAATGTTAGCCAGGCTCTAGAATGTTAGCCAGGCTCTAGAATGTTAGCCAGGCTCTAGAATGTTAGCCAGGCTCTAGAATGTTAGCCAGGCTCTAAAATGTTAGCCAGGCTCTAGAATGTTAGCCAGGCTCTAGAATGTTAGCCAGGCTCTAGAATGTTAGCCAGGCTCTAGAAGACAGTCAGAAGCCAGGTCCAAGCCAGAAGCCAGGGAGGATAAGAATCGACGCCGATTCCAAGTGAAAAGTTCTTTTTGCCGATAACTATCATTTTGTTTTTATTTGATGCTTTGTATACGAAAAATGGCAGAAACAAATCGGCTGCTTGATTTCCGGCCATATTCGACAAACTTTTGTTGATAAGAATCTCCTGCCGTGGCAGACAGTTTTAAACGTGTCAACTGGCAAGCCACTCCCCTCGCAGAAGATCAAAATCATTTCTTTTTTGGACTTTTCATTTGAGATGAGTTCGAGCGATGATGAAGTTATTGAAGATGATAAACCAATGATAAACCGACGTACGTCATTGTTCATTTATCACAATTGGAAATTTTGCTGCAACATTGCCATATTTGCGATTTAAAGGAAAGTCGAGAACAATCAATTGGGTAAGAAATCGAACTTGCCTCATAGCTCATGCTCATGTCATAAAAAGTTCATAAAAAAAGCAATCAGGATTTAGCTTTAGAGCACAAAAAGAGTTCGATGAATTCTCAAAACAGTAACTCTGTTGTCGATGATGATGAGAATGAGTGATAGATTAGCCAAAAACTTGTATTTTAGTGCTGATAAATGCCAGCAAATATGGCAGAAAATCAATCAGCCGATTTATTTCTACCATTTTCGATATACAAAGCATCAAATAAAAGCAAAATAACAGCTATTTGAGAAAAGAATTTCTTCACTTTGAATTGGTCTTGATTCCCTTCCTTTCAGCCTTCTGTTGGTGCTCATAGATTTTTTTTAAACTAAGCCAACGGTCAGCCAAGATCTGGCAAGGTCGGCTTTTGACTTCGCTTTTGATTTAATCCAAATTTCAATGAAATCTGACAATGAATTGCAAAAGCCAGACTACAGCCGATCTGTTTTCACTCGTTTTACTGACAAACCTGACACAGTGTAACCCCTTCTTTCGCCGCATTCTCACTCAACAACAACTTCAACATGTCATACTCAGCCCATTCAACATCGATAAAAATATAGTCGATGATTGATCTAGAAAACTTTTTAAGTTAAAAGAATCTCTTTTCTTTTTCTCTAAACTCTTTAACATCTTCTTTCAGAAAAGCGAACAATGGCCGGCCTTTCATCTTTTGTCGACTCAAGTACTTGCCTAAATTTGATGTGAATTAAATTTGCAAAGTGTTAGAAATTTAGATTAACCGCTTCAGAGCCGACATATTTGATTACTACAAGTATATCAATCTTGTATCAATTTTAGTAACTGATTTACGGTCCACAATTATGGTAACCAGTTTTTTGGAAAACTATTCATTTCCAAAAAAGTTTCTACAGAAAGTACCATGTGCTATATACCATTTGAAAGCTCTAATTCTCAGCATCATTAATATATCAACGATTTTTTGGGCAGAGCTAATTCTTGACTCTTACTGGCCTTCGGAATGAGCTCGCCACAAGCACCCCACGTCGATCTGCCATTTTTTGTGGTTTTAAATGTCAGAAGTGTTTCGAAAGTATTGTTTTCAACTGACTAACCTTTTTTCAATTCTTCCAATTCAAAATAAAGCAAATGTGAACGGAGCATTTGCTCATAACTTGCTCACAAGTTTTGAGCACATGCTCCGCTTGTGTTTCGCTTTTAGTTCTTATTTGGTTTCTATTTGGTTCCTATTTGTTTCCTATTTGGTTTCTATTTGGTTCCTATTTGGTTTCTATTTGGTTTCTATTTGGTTCCTATTTGGTTCCTATATGGCTCCTATATGGTTCCTATTTGGTTTCTATTTGTTTCCTATTTGTTTCCTATTTGTTTCCTATTTGTTTCCTATTTGGTTTCTATTTGGTTCCTATTTGGTTTCTATTTGGTTTCTATTTGGTTTCTATTTGGTTTCTATTTGGTTCCTATTTGGTTCCTATTTGGTTCCTATTTGGTTCCTATATGGATTCTATTTTGTTCCTATTTGTTTCCTATTTGGTTCCTGTTTGGTTCCTATTTGGTTTCCATTTGTTTCCTATTTGGTTTCTATTTGTTCACAACTTATTGCATTTTGCGGCAAGTAGTGAAATTCATGTTTTTCCGGATGTCTGCTTCTGCTGATTGAGGCACTTTTTGATTGTCATTTTGGTTTTAAAGTATTGAATTAAATAAATTTTGATAAAGTATGTAAAAATTTGATCGTATTCTCTGTTTTTCTCGGTCAAATTTTTACTTAGAAAATCACGAAAAATTACAGATCACCGTTGGGTGCCTGCTCATTCCGAAGGCCAGTAAGGGTCAAAAATTAGCTCTGCCCAAAAAATCGTTGATATATTAATGATGCTGAGAATTAGAGGTCTTTCAAATGGTATATAGCACATGCTACTTTCTGAAGAAACTTTTTTGCGAATGAATTATTTTCCCAGAAACTGGTCACCATAATTGTGAACCACCGTGTAGACAACACTTTGACGACACTTCGAACCTTAACCCATTCGAAACCGCAGTGTTTTTTCTTTTTTTTTTTATCTAAACGTGTCAACACGATGTGCAACCGATGTGAGAAACCCATTTGCGTCAATTGTTATGCTAAAAAAAACATAAAACCTGTTGTTGATTTTCTCTTGTTGAATCTTTTGAAAAATAGAAAAAATTAGTATAAAATAGTTAATCTTGCAACATTCATATAACATTAAATATGAAACGTCTTTTTTTTGCCCACGTAACTTGTAGATCTGTTACAATTGGAATATACATGTAATGCAATGAATGTAATGAAGTAAAACAGCAAAAAAAAACCAATTAATTGGATGAAAATAGCTCAATTAAACGCTCCAGTGATTAAACTCAGGAACGGATCGCGATTAGCGGTCCGTTCCTGAGGTTTTGCTGCAGCGATGATTCGCTGGAGAAGTTTCGAATGGGTTAAATACCCTGATAAGCCGCTCACCTCCAGCCAAAATACTCGAATCAGCCACATCACCACCGGAAACGGCGTATTGATAGAATTTCCCAATCTAAATCAACTTTTCATCTTCATTTCCCCCAATTCCCCTCCACTTTCTCATATTTCTCTTTATTTCCCTCATCAACTGGATCGGCTCCATGAAAGGCGCAATTTGGAAGCATTTTCTGAAAGCTTATGTCTTTAAGATTTTCAAATAATTATCTTAAAACCTATTAAAATACAGTACGATTTTTCCCTTTTAACAACCTTAATCGTCTCTTCGGCTGTCGTGTCATGACCGATCCCTAGAGTCACAAAAGTGCAAGGAGCCAACTGAATAATTTAGATAATGGAATGAAACCTTCCAAAGCAGTCACCTACTTGATTTTTTGGCAAAATCATCTTTTTATCTTCGTCCAAATTCTTGACAGTAATCGGAATCGCGCCAAAGACATAACAATCACGAATCGCCTTCGCCGGACCGAGATCCCAAGTCTGTTTCGTTTGTTTTGCTTGTTTTTTTGGAAGCAAAGGTAGTTCAAAAATAATTTTACAGAATTTGGGCAACATTTCTAAAACAATTTCTTTCTTTCTCACAGTCTTTGAAAGGCAAAAAGCTTAAAAACAAATTAAAACTTTAAACCACTTAAAAAGAACTTTAGCTCAAAGCCGTGCAAAAACCGATATTGCCAGTCTGTTACTTGAAATTGAAACTTTTAATCTTAAGCCTAAAGCCTAAGAAACTTTATTTCTCACTAGCCTTACCGCATTCTTCCTACTAGCGCTGTTCAATCGGGAGCTTTCCTGCACACAAGTTCATACGGATGTTACAATAACAAAAGTTCCTCAACGTTTCTGATAGTTTGGAACTGACAAGCGAAGGTCGGCTGACTGAGCCGCCGAAATTTATAACTTTATAAAAGTGTCACAATATGTTGTGCGCGCGAACAAAGAACCCTAGAAAAATCGAAAGTGGGGATCGAACTTGTGAGGTCTCCTGATACTTCGCTTGAATCGTTGAATCCAGCTGTCGCTCGCCTTGATTGATCAACATTACCTTATGGCGAAAGCGATGTGCCAGATGGAATGTGATTCTGCGCGTGCACAAAGAACACTAGCCAGCACTTCTTGAAAAAAACAAAAGAAAAACCCAAAGTCGGGATCGAAGCTGCGAGATTTCCCTCTGGAAACGAACGTTGTACCAGCCGGCTACGGCTGCACCGAATTTAGTCCGCAAGGAGAGCGCTAAGACCCAAATAACCACAAATATTCTAACAAAACTTTAGACGCTTATAACTCCTAGCAAATTGTCATTTAGCAAAAACGGAATATACAGGGTGCGGCCAAAATATCCGGCGATGAAAAGACCGACTGGTCTTCAGAAAATTAGCAGAAAAGCTTTATAGAATTTTACTGAAAATAACAACAACAGTCCAAATAACAAAATAAAAACAGTTAAATCTCAAAGTTTCCTCCTTTTTCCTTCATGCAAGCCCTAAGTCGCTTCGGCACATCGTCGACCGCGGCACGGAGAGTCTCAACGGGGATTTTTGCCCATTCCTTGATAAGGGTGGCTTTCAGATCATCCAAATTAGCATGTGGAGCTGATGAGACCTCTGCCTTCAAGATTCCCCATATGGCGAAATCCATAGGATTGATGTCAGGTGAATTTGCAGGCCATTCTTCCGGGGTAATGAAATCCACGTTTTGCTTGGCAAACCACTCCATGGTCTTTTTTTGCACGATGTGCTGGTGCAGAATCTTGTTGAAAGATCCAAGGCGCTCCAGAAAAGTGATTATCAGCCCAAGGCTTCATATGCCTCATCAAAATTTCTTTTTCGTAGTAATTTTGATCAATTTTCACACCTGGCTGCACAAAAACAAGAGGTGTTTTTCCATCAGCGGTCACCCCGGCCCAAACCATCAACGATTTTGGATGAGCCGATTTTTGGACAATTCTTCCCTGAGAATTTGCCGTGGCAACATCTTTTGTTAAAATCCGATTATTTTGCTTGTTGAATTCCTGCTCAATTGTGAATGGCGCTTCATCCGACCAGAGAACCCTCCGATGCGTGCCACCCTTCAAACGCCGCAACAAAACTTTGCATTTCTTAAGTCTTTGTTTCACTTATTTATCAAAAAAATCACTTATTTATCAAAAAATCACTTATTTATCAAAAAAATAATTGAAACATATAAAAAAGAATAAAAAAATGCATAAACATAAAAAGAAGCGTGAATAAATGAGTTTTCGCAGTATTATGGCAAAAAGTACGTTCCGCCGGATATTTTGGCCGCACCCTGTATATTCGAAATCAGCATAAAATTCTGCGTCGAATGGTATAGGTGGCATTTGGCCGGCTCAGCCAGTTGACTTTCCCTCGTGAGCTCGTGAATGGTGGACCAAGTACTCAATATATTTTCCCTTAAACTATTCAATCTTTTCTTTCTACCGTATTCGGGAATCGCAACTCGGGATGTCCGAGCATACATTCTCGATATTCTCGATCAATTCGCTCGATAAAAGGATCGCAAACGTTCTTGGCAGAGCCCGTCCAATCGTGAAGCTGAAAAGGGTTTCGAATTCTTGAAAAACAGCCAAACAACCAATTTACCAATATGAAAAAGAATCCGCTGAGCGCAATCAAAATCCCGAGTGTTCCCTTGAAATTGCTGAGCATTTTTGATGAGCACAAAAGATAGATATGAACTAAATTAGCTGTCTAAAACAGTAATAAGAGAAACAGAACCTTTTGGAAAGCGAATTACTCATAAGTAAGAACTACTTATGAGTAATTCGCTTTCTAAAAAGTTTTCTTCTTTAGAAAACTACCGTAATCCTTCTTTTGGAATCTAAAATTAAGTAGAATAAAGAAGAAAATTTGAAGAGGATTACGCTAGATTTTTTTAAATTTCGAAAATTTTTAGAAAAAGCTGAAAAAGCTGAACACGTGAAAAAGAAATCTCTAGAAAATCGAAAACTAAAGAATTTAGACTAAAGAATAAAGTAAAATTGAGATCTTGGAAAACAGATAAAGCAATTTTCATATATTTATATGATTGTTTATAAAATTTTACGCTAATTGCTCAAATAAAAGAGGAAAGATCGATATTCAGAAAGAAAGATTTCCTGGATCGCTTTTGAGGAGAATATTTATCGCAAAAGATTTCTCATTTGCTTTCAATTGGTCAAAAAGTGAACACTTGCAAAAACCTGGTTCGAAAAAAGTTTCTTTCTTTCAAAAAGTTTCCAATTCTCAAAGCCGTTTCCTTTCATTTTCCTATGCATATTTTGTCTGTCTTCAAATCTTGATTTGTCATAAAAATCGTTTTTTTCTTTGCCATAAAACATGCAGCAAGGGGAAAGATAAAAAAAAAACAGTTGTTAATAGAATTTGTTATGCTTTTTCAAAAGGCTTTTGGTATGAAAGAATAAAATCTCAAATCAATCGCACAAATCAATTTTCGTCAAAACTCAGAGTATAGGATACCTCAAAATTACTCGAATCAATCTCCGTTTGCTTTTCCTCTTAATTATCTGAATATTTTGAAGCTGCTTTAAGTCTAAAGGACTGCTTTAAGCAGAAAACCACTTTGGAAACAAAATTTAATGCTTTCAACAGGATAGGGAACCTGTCCACAAATTGTTCAAGACCACAAATTGTTCGTTGTGAAAGAAACCTCCCAGTTTTCATCAACTTTAAGCAGTTGCCACCATCAAACTCCGATTTAAATCAATTTAAATTTTATTTACTCATTAAGCCCTGCACCTGCTCACAAAGTCCGAAGTGTCCAAGACTCGTGTGAAAGAAACCTCCCAGTTTTCATCACCTTTAAGCAGTTGCCACCCTGATTTAAATCAATGAATCATTTAAAAAACATTTGAACATAAAAGCCTACAAGGTTGCGAAAGCTCAATTTTTCACAATCGATGCTAAAAAGAAGCGCGAAAATTGATCAAAATACTGCTACGATTCAATGACATCGATCACTGAAACATTCTTTTTACTGACGAAAAGGTGTTCACCATTGAGCAGAGTTTGAACACTTTGAACAACCGGATAAAAGAGCCAACTAAACCAAATGGTTTAACCTGCTGGATATCCCAAATCCGTCATGGTTATCGGAATCACTTCTGATCGAAAGACTTCATTCATTTTCGTTCAACAGGGCGTCAAATTAAACGCAAATAATTATCTGAATATTCTGAAGCAGGAAGTGCTGCCTTAGACAGAAAAACACTTTAGTGCTTTCTGTCGGATGGGCCAAAAGGAAGCTTTATACCAAAAGTTCAAGTTTTATACCAAAAAAAAATCCCTTTCCATTCTTGGCTACATGATGGGTGAAACAGCTTTTTTCTTTAAAAAAAAAGGTTAATATTTAATAGACAAAGCTCGAATTGTTTAAGATTTGTGTAAACGAAACTTCCTGGATTTCATCAGCTTTAAGCAGTGGCCACCATCAAGCCTCGATTTAAATCCGATGGATTACTCAGTCTGGAGTGTTCTCGAAGAAAAGGCCTTCTCAAAAGCACATTCAAGCATTGATTCACTGAAAAAATCACTCCAGAAAGCTTGGGCTGAACTCGATGTTGCGTATCTTTTAGCCACCATCGACAGCATTGACGATTTCGGCTTCTTGGCCGCTTATGCAGCTGCACATAGAGATATTTTCGAGAAGAAATAAACCAAATTGCAATCTTATTCTCTAGAAAGCAATCTAGAGAATCAATTTCTTAAGGTTAATTTTTGTTTTTTGATGAAAAGGTTTTTAAACCATGAGTTTTATTAGTTTGGGTTATTTTGGGATATCTGTAGTTTAAACCAGACTTGGGAAAACAAAACTTAACCAAAACCAAAACCACCAAAACCAAAACAGACCAAAACCAAAACCAAAACCAAAACAAACCAAAACCAAAACCAAAACCAAAACCAAAGCCAAAACCAAAACTGACCAAAACTCGCCAATATCTCGCGATTGGGAGGAGCTAGCGAAAATCTGATTGCAGATTTGAAATCAGCGTCCGAAAATCTATCCCATAGGCTATTTTTTGTTTCGAAATTTCGAGGTCGTGTTTTGGTCCTTTTTTCGGCCGCGAGATTTTGGGGATTGAGAAAAAGTGAAAGGTAAATTTGCATTTTACATTAAAATTTGCATCCTACAATTTAAAATTAAAACATTAAAATTTGCATTTTACAAAATTTACATGTTAATTTATATGCAAATTGAGTTTTGGTTTTGTTTTGGTTTTGTTTTGTTTTGGTTTTGGCTTTGTTTTGGTTTTGTTTTGGTTTTGGTCTGCTTTGGTTTTAGTTTTGTTTGCCGAACTCTAGTTTAAACTGTCAGATCAGAGCCTATTCAATCGTTTATTGGATCAAATCGGATCAAATCCGAATTTTATCCAATCCGGTTTTAATCAAAATTGAATTGAAGCCGTTTAAAGAGAATCTCATTCGCAACTTTTTTGCTGAAAGATGAAGCTAGGGTAGTTCAATGAATAAGCTCCTAAATCTCCTTTGAATCCCTCAAAAACATCGATTTCTCGTATTTATCAACTCTTTGGTAGAGCTTGCTCAAAAAGTAGCTCGATAAGTTTTCTAGTGCCTATGAACCAAAAACCTTCAAACACACTGGTCGATCATCTTTTTTTGTCTTTTCTAAACTTTACGAGAAAGCTGACTCACTGAGCTGAGCACAGCTGAGCTATTCAAAAAAAAAAACTCAAAAAGGCGTGACTCCTTTGCCGCTTATCAAAATCTCTCGGCTTCAAAGAAAAAGAAAAAAGAAATTTACTAAAATTTGAAATTTCAATTTCAAAATGTCCCTATTTCATTCACTAATCCCATTTTTTTTCCTTATCATTAATGTTTCTCCAGAAACCCTCCTTTTCGAGACAATCAAACTCAAAGATGCTAAAATAATTGAAAAATCGGAAATTTTTGATAATCATTTCAAAATCTTCGATAAAAGTAAGCTTTTTCATTGGTTTTTTGCTAATTTTCAAAGTTTTTCTGACGATTTTTCATTTTCAATGACGAAATTCAAAGCTTTCTTTTGAAAGATTTGCAAATTTCTGATTTTTACTGTAAATTTACGAAATTTTATAGATTTATTCTTTATTTTTCTTGTTAATTTGCTTATTTTTCATTATTTTTCATAAATTAGCGCAAATCCAGTCGAAAATGTCGTCCGGTTGAATCATAAAAGTGCTTTGGTTGCATAGAGTAAACTGAATGATTTTGAAATTCAATTCCATCAAAAATTGACTAAATTTTCAAGTTTAACATTGAAATTTCTTTTTTTCTTAGCTAAATAACTTCTGAATTTATCTTTTAAAGCTATTGGGTTGGTGAATTGAAAACTGCGGGACTTTGAACTAAAATTTATTCAACATAAAACCATGAATTGATTCGAAATAATTTCCATTATTATTGACGACTTCTACCCATTTTACAGGCAATTTGCGGATTCCTCTTTCGTGGTAGGATTCTGGTTTTGCATCGAAAAACTTTCAAAGCCAATTTTTGACTGCTTCTTTCGAATCGAAGTGTTCTCCCGAAAGCTCATTACTCATGATCCGGAATAAATAGTAATCAGAAGGGGCGAGGTCCGGACTGTATGGGGAATGCGCCAAAAGTTCCCAAACAAGGCTCTTTATTTTAGAGCTAGTTTGTTTTGCAACATGAAGGCGCGCGTTGTTGTGGATGAGAACGATCTTTGACTTGGAGGGCCTATTCTTCTTCAGGGATTCATTCACCTTTCCCAACTGTTCACTGCATTCGATTGCATTAACGGTCGTCTTGCTATCCAGCAACTCCCAGTACACCACTCCCTCCATATCCCAGAAAACGCAGAGCATAAACTTCCTCTGGTGCAAATCGGTAGAATTTTGCATTTTGGTTTGTGTGTGAGACTCAAAAATCGAGGACTGCAGATATCCCAGTTTGAGCACTTTCTTCAAAAGAAACCCATTTTGGTGTCAATGGAAAAGTTGTAGAGAATCAAAAATTAGGCTTATAGCCAAATTTCCAAAAAGATACACTTGATAGTTTCGCTTAAAATGCAAGTTTTGTGAAAATTCGTAAATTTCGCATTTCTTGAAAACCAGTTTTTGAATCGTTCTGAAAATTTGGATATAAGCTTGATTTTTGATTCTCTACAACTTTTCCATTGACACCAAAATGGGTTTCTTTTGAAGAAAGTGCTCAAGCTGTCACATATGACAATAGCCCGCAGTTTTCAATTCACCAACCCAATAAAAATAGCTTACTTTTAAATTTGGGAAATCAGCAAACATCGGAAAATGACCGCGATCAAGTTGAATCGCTTCCGGTCGATCCTAAATAGATTTATGTTTAAAAAAACTGTAATAAGAAAAGGTTTTCAAAGTATCTCTTAATCTTAGAACTTTTCTTAAGTTTATTACAGTTTATTACAAGTAAAATTTACAATTCTGTTTGCTAAAATCAAGCATGGCGCCTTTGAGAAATGACGAAAGCGCAGCACGCGCCGTAACTCGTTTTTTGCCTCAAATATTTCTGATTCCCTCCGTTTTGTTGAATCTACCTAAAAGATTTAGATTTTAACTTTTTTATTTGTATGTATGTATAATTGTACAACTCTTAACAGTACATCTTATCATTCTTAATCGTATGCCCACACTAGACATGAGAAAATTCCAAGCTGAACCTAATTCCACCCTCGTTTTCTCAGCCGTCTCTTCGCCAATTCCGCTGAAATTTTGTCTACAAGTAGAGAACCCTAATTTCTATTTCTAAGCAGAATTTCAGAACAATTGGCTAAGCGACGGCTGAGAAAACAAAGGTGGAGTTTGACTTTAGATTTAGATTCGGCTTCGACTTTTTCCGTCTAGACTTCTAGATGGGTTATGGTAGAAAGCAAGGCAAAGTTCATTAGAACACTGAAAACTTAACAAGTTTTATTTATTTTTCCCTTGATTTCCTTTGATTTATTTAGCTATAAGCTGTCGAAAGCTATAAGCTGTCGAAAGCCATAAGATATGGAAAGCTATAAGTTTAAAGTTTGAGTACGAGTGACAAATAGGGTTTACTTGTGACTCCTACGGACATCAATTTACATTTTAACCCTCATACATCTCCTCTTTACCACAAAAATGATCGCTTTTCTCTCAGTAGGTTCCTCGTTGAAATTCCATCGTCGATACTCGGCATTTGGTCCCTCAATGAGACGAATGTTGTAAGATTTATGAGAAAAGCGATAGACTTTCGGGGCTAAACTTAATCTTTACTAATGTAAAATAGGTTTAATTAGGGTATTTTATGTTTCCCTTAAAATCTCACAAGCGTAGTTGATTTGATATTCTTTTTCCCTCAACAACGCCTGGATTGTCGTCTGTTTTCCGCTTTCCTCCAATCCCCAAACGAAAATGTCAAGTGGTTTCCCAAAGAAACAATAATAAAATTCTTTAAGCAGTGAATAAAGCCAAGAAAAAAGCATTAAAGATTGAAAATTGTTGAGAAAATATTGTATTTATGTTTCTTATCAAAGACACGTCATCCCAAAAAAAGACAACGGGGAAGAGGTTTGTTTGCGGGAAACACGTTTCGAAAAATTTTACGTATAAAGACTTATAATTGAATAGGATTCGACAGGATTAAACATCACAGTTCAACTCTGTCCAATTGTAAAAAAGCCAGTCAATCCCACATTAGCCTAAAAGCTGGATCAAGCTCAGCTTCGAATCCGGTCAAGCTCAGCTTCGAATCCTGTCGAGCTCAGCTTCGAATCCTGTCAAGATCATTATTTCAAGATCAAGACCTGTCAAGATGTCAAGATCATTGTTTTAAATGACTCAAAATCTATTTTAAAGCCATACAAATGCTTAGTAACACTTAGAAAGTGTCAGAAATTCTTAAAATGATCAAAAAAAAGAGCGTTAAAGATTTTAAAGCTTGACTTGACTCGATTTGCCAAAAAGTCAAGACTAAAGCCAAAAATAGATCAGGGTTTAGCTTGACAAATCGACTTTTCCTCAAAAAAGCTATTAAATAAAATTCCAGACGTTAACGGAACCGCGAACTACAATATGTGTGAAACAAAAGCAATCGATTTGAATGGAGACACGACGAAGGAAATTTCCGACAGTTTTCTTTACACCTTGGACACGCTCAATTGTGGAAAGTGAGTTTTTCTTCATTCACATTGTTCGAAATTCTTTTGAAATCAACATCACGACGATAAAGATCCCCAAAATCGTTCATAAAAAGTCAGTAATTTGACGTCTATCCGATAAGTACATAAAACCACTTATCGAATAACTGTCAAACCACCGATCATTTATTGACATTTGAGAATGGGAGAAGATAAAGAAAGAAGAAAGAAAGAAGAAGAAAGAAAGAAGAAAGAAAGAAGAAAGAAAGAGGAAAGAAGAAAGAATTGGAAATGGATATGAAGATAATTACAGACAGATAGGTCAATGGGTTGGGGAAAGGGGATAACCAATGGCCAGTGAGACGTAAAAGTTCTTTAAGACTTTGAGTTCTTTTTTTCAATCATTTGTTCATTACGTATAAGATTTCGTTAATTTTTTTTACTTCTTACAAGTTTTGCAAACACTTTAGCTCGCCTTGGCTAGGCTTGGCTTTTTCAAAGGTTAGTCATTTAGAAAGCTACCGTACTCAAAGCAAATTTTGATCCAATTTATTTAGCCAATTGTATGACTAACCGAATTGCTCATCGAATGATATCAAAAAAATTGGGTTGATTGAATGAGAATTGGGTCAAAAATTGGTCGAAAATTGGTCAAAATTGAGTCAAGTTTGGTTAAAATTGAGCAAAATTGTTCAAAATTGAGTCAAAATTGGTTAAAGTTGATCAAAATTGGTCAAAATTGAGTCAAAATTGGTCAAAATTGAGTCAAAATTGGTCAAAATTGATCAAAATTGGGTCAAGCTTGGTCAAAATTGGTCATAATTGATCAAAATTGAGTCAAGATTGGTCAAAGTTGATCAAAATTGATCAAAATTGATCAAAATTGGTCAAAATTGATCAAAATTGGTCAAAATTGATCAAAATTGGTCAAAATTGATCAAAATTGAGTCAAGATTGGTCAAAGTTGATCAAAATTGATCAAAATTGATCAAAATTGGTCAAAATTGATCAAAATTGGTCAAAATTGATCAAAATTGGTCAAAATTGATCAAAATTGAGTCAAGATTGGTCAAAGTTGATCAAAATTGATCAAAATTGGTCAAAATTGATCAAAATTGGTCAAAATTGAGTTAAAATTGGTCAAAATTGGTCAAAATTGATCAAAATTCGCTTTGAGTACGGTGCTTTTATAAAATATATGTTTTTTAGAGACTTCATTAGCTATATTTTACCTTATTAGTGAATGTTTTGCAAAATCCCATTCATTCAAAACCGTTTGAAGTGAAATTTTGAGCTCAAATCCTACTTCAAATTTCATAAGTGATTCTAGAAATTTCACGATTCTCCTCTTTCGAAACCCGCTCGGCTATCAAGTAGATGCATCGCTTAATGGAACAAAAATCGATTTATTCAAGGAGTAAGCCTTGAAAATCTTTGCAACCTACTTATGCACAAAGTTCAGCGTTCAAAACAATCTCACATCTCTGCTGCTTCCCCCCGGACAACTAATCATTCAAATCACTCAACTCGAGTCAAATGTCACTAGTTTTCACATGCTTGTTTTTGGAGGTTTGTCAAAGACTTAAAACAAGAAAAAAAGAGGTTTAAGTCAAATGACAAATGACCTAAATGGCCAAGTCAAATGTCAGAACTGAGCTGACAAGTCTGAGCTCAGACTGAGCTGCAAGCAAACAGCTCAGACTGAGCTCAGCTCAATTTAAACAGCCTCCAGTATTGCTCACCTGGGTTTGAAATGTAAATTGCAAATGGAAATTCAAATTCCTTTGAATTTCTGATCTTAGCCAAACCTAAATCGAATTCTTTTCCCTTTCTAGACACCTTCAACTATTCCATTCACTCGAGTACAAATATCCAGCCGGACATCGGCCCATGGACAGTTACCCGATTGAAAGCCGGTGATAAAGGAAAATATTTGATCTATCAAGTAAATCTCTTTTCTTTTTTGATCAATGCATTAAAACCCAGGGTTCAAGCCTTACCTCACCGATGCAAGTTGGGACCGAGATCAGTGTGATGGGCGATTGCCCGATTCGTTTATGGAAAGGATACAATCAAATTGATAGTGCTTTCCTTTATGGGTTAGTTACCAATTGTAAACAATTGTAAATTCGACAAAAACTTTAGTGGAATTGGAACGATTTGTGGCCGAAATTTCTATCGCAGTGTGATACCGAGATTTGTTTTTGATCGCTATCTAATTGTCGAGACTGACGGGACAAGCACAAGCGATTGTAATGTTACCGTACATACGGTGAAGCTAAGTGAGCTTAAAATGAAAAGTTTCATTTGATTAGTTTAAGAAAACCTTTTATACACTTTCAATTAGCTCATGGCATTGGCTTTAAATCGTTTTTGGCTTTTGCGTTTCAACTTTAGCCGTTTTTGGCTAAAGTTGAACTTAAAGTTGAATAAGGTTAAACCAAGAATCGTCTTAACTAGAATAAAATGGCTTAGTTAGAAGAGTGGCTCTTGGAGCTGAGCCTGAGCTGATCCTCTTAGCTCAGCTCTAGATCTGAAAGATGTCAGAACTTTTGCCTTTTAAATCGAAAAAAGCTTTTGCCATTCTTTAAATCGTTTCCTCCAGAAAAAGCTACTGCAATCAAATTGGTGACTAGAAAATAATCACATTCTAACTTTTAAGTTAATTGGCACAAAAAACAAGCTTTAAAATTCTAAAAACAGCCGAAACAGGTAGTTCTATCTAAATAGATTAGAGGAATTTCGCTAACGAAAGTCCGCTTTACAGCAAAAACCTATCCACCAGCGTTTTAGCTCAGCTTTTAAGGCCTATCTTTTTCTAGATTCCACACGAAACATCAATTCCGCTGACGTTCTGACATTCCCCGCTTGGACAGTACAAACCACCGATCAATCATTCACCTATCATCTAGCAAATATCATGGGACCAACAGGGATCAATTTAAATTTAATGACCCCATTGCCTACGGGGACAACACTGACTATTGATGATCAAACGGGGAGTGGAAAGAGGTGGGACTTTGATGTCACTTATCGTGAGTCATTAAAGTTGAACTTAAAGTTGAATAAGGTTAAGCCAAGAATCGTCTTAACTAGAATAAAATGGCTTAGTTCTGAGAGTAAGTGATCCTCTTGGCTCAGCTCTAGATCTAGATCTGACCTGCACAGTAAATAGGGCTGAGATTAAGCTGGAAACCAAATTGCTTTCAATTTATAACTTGTAACTTTCAGAAACATAACCGATTGCTCATTTCACACGGATTCGCTATACGCTATCGTGGAATACTCGTGGAAATGCTCACCGGGATTATCGTGCGATGAAGGGCCTCTTTTGAGGTAGAGGGATTACTGTAGAGCCCTGCCCCAAGGCTATAATTGGCTGCCTGGCTGAGGCTAGTTATTGATTAGTGTTTAGCAAATCAAGATAGGAGTCTCTAATTATAAGGAAAAGTAAATGTTTCCGCTTTTTTTTTTTGACTACTTTCAAAACTGCATTATCGTGCTTAAAACCGAGTTTAAAACTTGGAAACTAACTAAGAAATGGTCAGATATCGCAAGCGCGAATTAGATGACTTTATATGACTTTAGCTGACGGTTTTGTATGAATTTTTATATGACTTGCGCAAATCGGACACGGGCAACACGACGGCGTTTTGAGTTTTTGCCAAAAAACGCTCTAGATTTCTGTAAAAATGGTTTTGAACTAAGTCAATTTTCACGATTACCAATCTAGGACTTCCTTTCCGTTTTCGTCGTTTTTTTCAGAACAATGCTTTACAAAAGGATCCAATCAAAGCTAAAGATACTCAAAAGCTACTCAAAATACAGCTTTACTCCTTAAAAGACTTCAAACAAAAAGACTGGATCCAAGGGGGACCGAACCTGGACCCCGAGAGTGAGAGACAACGGCACTACCACTGCGTTACCGATCGAGTTGTGCCGGTAGCGATGATAGCCGTTATAAACTCATAGGTCCCTCAGTAAAGGAGAAATTTCAAATGTGTTTTTACAGAAATCTAAAGCGTTTTGGCAAAAATTAAAAGCCCCATCGTGTTTCCCGTATCCAATTTACAAAACTTATAAAGCTTTTGTTCAGATTCGCGCTTGCGAAATCTATAAATCGATCTATAAACCGATCTATAAACCGATCTATAAATCAATCTATAAAACAATCTATAAATCAATCTATAAATCGATCTATAAGGTGTTTTCCCTAAAAAATCTGTCAATCGAAATTGTAAGGTGTTCTTAGTAAAATGTTTTCGAAACTAAAGTACTAAGATCCAAGTTTTGTTAGTGATAAAGCAAAAATCCAAAAGCAAACTATGAAAGCAAGGATTTCTCAGGCTAAAACTCACGATCAGGCTCGATCCCTGCACTTTTAAGTTGATGAATTGAGTGCCAAGCCTGGCCAAATCCCTTTTACCAACGATAAACAACAGTAATTGTAAAATTGTACCCAATAACCTCTGGATTAAATTCAGATATTCCGTTGGAAGTGATGATTTCTTCTCGACAACGCCCAGTCCATCTCCAACTTCACCCCAAACGACCATTTCATCGGCCACTTCTTCCACCTTCCAAACGACCACAAAAACCTTTAGCCAATTGAAATTTATCATAAGCTTTATTATTCTAATCGTAAGCCTAACATTTTTCTAATATCATATTGGGTTGGGGAGAATGAGTCGGCGCCGAAAATCAAAAAAATGTCTAAAACTTCTATTGGACTTCGTCAAATAATATGCGTTTGATATCAGTAGAATGGTTAACTAATTCTCTACAAAATCCCATTTAAAAGAAAATTCAAACAGCGCCTCCGCTCAAGAAAAAGCCATTTTTTAACAAAAACTACAAACTGTGATCTAGAAAAAACCATTGGTGGGATCTTCCTGCAAATTTGGCAACTTAAGTAATTGAATGTGCTCTATCTTTTTATATAAACACCAAAGAAGGTTTATGTGAAAGAAACTGTTCAAATGATGAGTCGGACTCTTTGCCATTTTAACCAGCTGCGTTTGGAAGTTCATAAACTCCACGAAAGAAAAGCTTTGTGGAATCTCTCAAAAGTGATTTTGTAGAGAAATAGTGGATCCTTTTGATGAAACCAAACGTATGTTTAAAGAAGGCTTTATGTGTGCAAAAAGTCCCTTTAAAGTTCGGCGCCGACTCATTCTCCCCAACCCAATAGATTGAAAACAATTTCAAAACAAGAATTTCAACAATAAAATTTCTAAGAAGAAAAAGAAGAAACTTAAATTTGAACAAAAACAGATTTTAGCTAATGAAACAAAATAGTTAAAACTGTTATTCTGATGGGGAATAACGATTTGGGTAAATGCTCTAAAGTTTATCCTAACGAAATCTTGTCATCGTCTGATTTTTTTAATAGTTTTTCTCTAGTTAAAGTAGTTATAGCTATGGTACAAGCTATGGTAAAGGTTACGAGAAGACAAGACTAGACAAGGGTTACAGTAACACCTATTAACAGTAACACCTATTAACAGTAACACCTATTAACAGTAACAGCTATTAACAGTAACAGCTATTGTGTTATGGGCTACAAAACTAACTGTTACAAGTTGTGTATGGGTTGTGTTACAAGAAGTTACAAATTACAGCCTCTGCACTAGTAATTAGGCTGAGTTACGGTCGACGAGTTAGCATTAGAGAATCGTAGGAGAACGAGTGAGATCATAGCTCTTTAAAGCTGAGATTTTGAACGACTTTACAAAACAAGGGTTTGATTGGAATGGGGAATAAGTATGACAAATTGACTACTGATTCAAAGTATAGACGCCCAACAAAAGTCCACCGCTTTCCCCTTCACTAATGAGCTACCGTAATCCCAGACATATCCCGTTTATCCTAAAAGCACTGTGGCGTGAAATCGGTTTCCAGGAAAGAACTTGAATAGTTCTTCATTTGGAAACAAGTACTGTAGAAATTTACGTAGATTTTAATGTCAAAAAAAGAGCAAAAAAATCTAGAAAGAAACATGTGACGGACAATCGTAATTAGCGGGTTTTTTTGAGAAGACAAAGCGATAATCTCTTACCGTACTGCTCAAAGAAAAATGACAGGTATTTAATCGCTTTCGATGTAGTTTTTGAGAAGAGATTTCTGTTTTTTTTTAGGTTTTTACTAAATTTGAATATCATTAACTGCTGATGCTTTTTGATTTACGCCTGGCTTTTGAGCTTAGACATAGTTTTTCTGGTCAAACTTTTTACGCTGATTCAGAATATCTAGGTCGTTTGGGGATGACGTGTTGAAATTCCCAAGATATTCAGCTCCAAAGTTTACAAAGAGCATGAGCATTGAGCATGGCTTTTTTCGACCATGGATAGTTAAATTGCATTTGCGCAGCTGTGAAAGCGTCGGCTTGTGGCATAGTGGTTAGTTCACTTGCTTCTCGTTCTTTACCTTACGGGTTCGAACCTGCTTGCCGACATTTTATTCTACTTTTTGTGTTTAGTAGACTTGGCTAACGAGAGTTAACGAGACAAATGGGTCGCACAACTCCAGGCTCAGGATTTAGCCTCCAGTTTATTGAATTTCAATGAACTTTTCTTTAATTTAAAAGCGAAGATTTGAAGCTTTCTAATGATAGCTATCACTTATAATTTTCTTTTGAAAAAATGGCTCAAAAGCCTTATCGAAACTTAACGAGACAACGAGGAATCGTCTCGTTAAATTTCGATAAGATTTTTGACTCCCATTTTCAAAAGGAAATTCCAAGTGATAGATATCATTAGATAGCTTAAAGTCTTGGCTTTTAAATTTTTTAAAAAAGTTTATTGGAATCCAATACTCTGGAGGCTAGATCAAGCGCCTGGAGTAGCACGCGCCGATTTTTTTTGTTCTGTCTCTTTAAGAAAGTCTAGTGTTTAGTGATGTAGAAATACTAACTAAACAATTTTAGGGGATTTTTCTTGCATCTCCTTTGTTGTTTTGGATTTCTAGACTTCGAATAGACAATGAAAAGAACAGTAAACAGTTTAGAGTTCATTCCTATCGTTGATGCTTTTACTAAAAGGCATAAAAGCATCTATTTCAGAAGCCTACCGTAAACTAAGTCAAACTTTTCTCACTTTCTCACTCTCACTTCAACCAATAACCTTTTTATATCATTGACTAAACCTTGTGATTCCTCAACGAATTCCAAAATTCGACTATTAAACTTGAGCGATTTGATTACGGTAGTTTTGACAAACATCTTAGAAAACGGATTAGTCGACAGAAGACAAGTTTAAATGGCATTTAAGTTACAGTAGTTTTTAAGAATGAGAATCACAAGGTTTAGTCAATGAAATAAAAAGGTTATTGGTTGAAAGTGAGAAAAGTTTGTCTTAGTTTACGGTAGGCTTCTGAAATAGATGCCTTTTAGAAAACGCATCAATGATAGGAACGAATCCAGATTTCTCCAAAATACTACTACTTAGTATTGCAATTCTTGTAATTTCTATTTTGTACATGTTCAATTCAATTCTTAATCTTAAAAGTCGTAAAGCTTAGATCATTGGTCTAATAAACTATCCTAGTTTCCTGTAAAAATCCAAAAAATCGTCAAGTTTTGACACAAAAACAGCCCCTTTCATTGCTCAGAAATTGAAATTTCAAAGTTGAATTTGGCTAGAATTCAGATTTCTCAAAAATAATAGTACTTAGTATTGCAATTCTTGTAATTTCTATTTTGTACATGTCCAATTCAATTCTTAATCTTTGCCTAATTATAAATTCAAAAAGAGAATCCCCAAAGTGATGAAAAATTTGGTTTTTGTAAATTTAGTCACCCAAAAATGCATTCCAATTTGTTTTTAAAAGTGAAACTTGAAAATTGTGATCTTATTTAGGGTATTTTCTTAAAAATTCTTTTAAAAAATGGACAGCGACAAGCAAACGGTTATGGTTTACACAAATAGCTTCGTAGGAATCGCCTGCAATTTCCTGTTGCTTTATTTAGTACTCGCCGATACATCGGTGAGCTTAAACTTTCGAAATAGCAATTTAAGCTCAATATTGAATCAAAAGAAAAAGCATAATGAGCTTTTCTGGATCAAAAAAAAGCATAACAAGCTTTTTTGAATCAAAATCTAGACTAAATACCGTAATGCAGCTAATGTGGAGTGAATACCTGATTCTAGACTGAATACCTTAATCTAGACTAAATACCGTAATCCAGCTAATTCTAGACTGAATCCAGATTCTAGACTGAATCCAGATTCTAGACTGAATCCAGCTAATGTAGAGTGAATACCTGATTCTAGACTGAATACCTTATTCTAGACTGAATAGCTGAATCTAGACTAAATAGCGTAATCCAGCTAATGTAGACTGAATACCTTATTCTAGACTGAATACCTTAATCTATACCGTCTACTAAATAATACTACTAAATCTACTAAATACCGTAGTCCAGGATCAAAAAAAGAATAACAAACTTTTCTGAATCAAAAACGATTTCAGAAGCACAATGTCGGGTATAAAAACATGCTTTCGATCGTCACCGCTTATAATATCTATTATGCTTCTTTACATCCAATACTTGACATGGTAAGCGTTTAATTTTAATTCAATATTAGGAATTGATTAGTTGAAGATTGATAATTGCTAATTGAGGATTGATATCAATGTTTAAAAACAGATTTTTGCTGAAAACCAAAGTCAACAAAAAGTTAAGCTAAAGAAGTACCTTGGTAAACTATAAAATACTAGTAAACGGAACGGTAACATACCGTAAATACTGTAATAGTACCCCACTCACCTCGAACAGTTGCGTAGTCGCAAAAGTTTTTTAGTATTTCATTTTTTTCAAAGCACCCGTACTTTCAAAAAATGCGTCTTTGGTATCAAAAAATAGCTGAAATCCAGGGCTATTTTTTGATACCCAAGCGCGCATTGTAGCATAAACCAGTGTCGAGAACAACTCGTTCAAAGCTAGACTACGCAACATTCTGCATCGTCATTATGAGGGTGGGGGTACTATTACAGTATTTACGGTATGCTTTTTATTTGTTTGTTTATTTTTCTTAATTATACAAAAACTAAAAGATTATTAGCTTATTAAACTTAAAATAAAGTAATTATTAACAGAATTTTATGTGAAAATTCGAAAAATAATTGTACTAAAAGGTTTGCGCTTCTCAGAGCTCAAATTTGCAATCTCAAAGTAACTTTCCGCGCTTCTAAGTTTTAAATGATCTAAATACTAACTAGTTACTAATTAGATTTGGTCGGTTTGGTCACCTACCGTAAATACTGTAATAGTATCCAACTCGCCTCGAACAGTTGCGTAGTCGCAAAAGTTTTTTAGTATTTCATTTTTTTCAAAGCACCCGTACTTTCAAAAAATGCGTCTTTGGTATCAAAAAATAGCTGAAATCCAGGGCTATTTTTTGATACCTAAGCGCGCATTGTAGCATAAACCAGTGTCGAGAACAACTCGTTCAAAGCTAGACTACGCAACATTCCGCATCGTCATTATGAGGGTGGGGGTACTATTACAGTATTTACGGTATATTAAATTAAACGGCAATATTAAACTGTTTAAGAAATATTGAATTCTTTAAAATCTTTTAGGGCTTTCTCATCGATGAATACGGTTTCGTCATGTTTAGCAAGCATTTCGCTGATTTTGGTTACTGGACCTCGTACTTGGCGATCATGGTGAATCAACTTATCCAGAATCAACCAGAACTAGAATCAACCAGATCCAGAATCAACCAGAACCAGAATTCACAGAACCCTTAACTACTTTTCTGGATCGGCCGACTTTGAGGGGTTGAAAAATAGAACGACTCGTCATTCTAATACAACATTTACGGGATATTAGATTCATAACAGCCAATAATATCTTCATATACCCCGTACAACCAAAGTGTTCCCCATTTAGGTTTACATGGATGCGTTCAACAAATCGTTGACCCTTCTCGCTATTCACTGCTTGTATCGATATGTGAAAGTTTCTGGGTGAGTTCTTGGGATTTATCTTTCTATTTATTTATTTATATATGTTGTATCCGATTTAGATTTCCGTTCGATTTAGATTCAATCTAAATCTTATATAGATTGAACAATAATATAAACATGCTTAATATATGTTCTTAAGCGTTTTCTGTAGTTTTCTGCATTTTTCAAAAGTCTTTTATTGATTACAGTCTATATCGGACGTCCGATACAGATCAAACAATAATAAACGTGCTTATATGTTAATATAAGCACGTTTATTATATGTTCTTCTTATTATATGTTCTTCTTATTATATGTTCTTCTTATTATATGTTCTTCTTATTATATGTTCTTAAACGTTTTTTTGCAATTTTCTGCGCTTTTCAAAGAAATTTTATTGTCTTTTTTTGAGAATTTTTCGATATAGACGATTTATAGTCCGTCCGATGTAGACTGTAATCTAAATCGGACGTCCGCGATAAGTTCAATCTAAATCGGACGGAAATCTAAATCGGACACAACATATATTTATCAATAGCTTTCTAGCTTTCTATCAAACGAATACGCTAATCAATTTGCATTTACAGAAAGTGGCGTTTCCTTTTCGATTCGAAGAAATGGATCTTCGTCCTTTTCATGTTCAATTTCGTTTTTGGACCGGCCTGGTGTGTGATCTGTCATATTTGCTATCATGTGAGTGGAATCAAAGACATAGACACTACAAACTACAAGATCAGACTACAAGATCAGACTACAAACGCTTGTAGAAAAGCTTCGAATGACAATTTTTACAAACTGTTTTTAGCAAAAAATCGAACGAACTTTGGGCTTTTGAATGACACCAAGATGAGATCAATTCACCATCAATAACATGCTATTTATAGCAGTTTATAGTCTCGTCTCATGAGATATGGCTAGAGACCTGGAAAAAACGTTATGTTTTAGCGTTGATATGGTGGATTGATCTGATCTTGGTGTCATTCAAAAGCCCAAAGTTGGCTCGATTTTTTGGTAAAAACAGTTTGTAAAAATTGCTATTCTACGCGCTTTCTAGAAGCTTTAGATTCTGATTTTGTAGTTTGTAGCACCAATGTGTTGTGATCAGTCGAATTTAAAATATCATAAGATCAAATTGAACCAATAAATAAACGAATAAATAAACGAATAAATAAACCAATAAATAAACGAATAAATAAACCAATAAATAAACCAATAAATAAACCAATAAATAAACCAATAAACAACTAGAAGTACTTACAAATCTTTAGAGAAAGTCACGATTTTGGGATGATCTGTTTTTGTAGAAATTTCTGTACTTACAAAAATAATTTTGAATAACAATAAGTGAATGTTCCAATAAACTAACAAAATCCAACTTTTTAAAGCTAAAAAAAAGAAAAAAGCTTTCCAGTCAACTCCTGAACGAACTGAAATGAGCAAAATGGAAGCGATGAAGCGCTTCAACGTGAATCTAGAGGAAATCGGATATATTGGACCGGTGATGAAAGTTGGTTTTGCTTAACTTTACTTTAAAAAGATTTCTCAGTCAGTTTAGTGTGAGTAATGTGTTTTCTAAAGGTGGTTGTTTGAGAAAGTTATTGTAAAAAGCAAAAGCTCCTTTCGAATTTTGATTCCATTTGATGATTATTCATCAAATGGGATCAAAATTTGAAAGAATACGGTAGCATTACCAAAATAAACAACTAGAAGTACTTATAAATCTCTTAGAAAATACCAAGAAGCTTTCAGTTCTAGTTCTAGTAAGCTTTTAAACTTTTATATTATTTTTAACTTGGCTTTGGTCATGAATTACTTTCTACAATTAGAATAGTTTCAATCACAAATTCCAGTGGCCCAATCCTCAAACAGGAGCCATGCAAATTCGTTGGTTCAACGTTTTGGGTTCATTTGGATGCTCGTCAATTCTTTTGATTCTCTATGCGATCATTTGCTTGGGATGCGTGAGATTGTAAGAGGCTGAAAAGGCTGAAAAGGCTGAAATCTCTATATTCCCTTTCAAAACTCAGATATCGTTTCATCAGCACGTCGATGGTGAGTGAACGCACGAAAAAGTTGAACTATCAACTGCTGAGATTGTTGCTCATACAGGTTTTGCTTTGTTACATTGATATTTAATTGAATCTTTCATCTTTCTTTCAATCTTTCAAAACCTAATTCAATCAAAATTCCCTTATCACCATTAGACAATCGATTTAGACAATCGCTCCGTTGATCTTTGAGTACATTCCGTGTATCATGGCGATTTGGGGAGGATTTATTGGTGAGTTATGGAGTTAAGTATGAATATAATGAAGTTTAAGTTAAAATAAAAAGTTTTTGCGAATTTCTTTAGCTTAATAAGGGAAGCTTCTTAACTTGCTCCAAGTTAATTGAATCTTTCAAGGCTTCTTAACTTGCTCCAAAGACTAGACAAGTTAGATCAAGTGACCAAGTTTTAGAATTGATTGGTCTGGATTAGTCCGATAAAATGCTAGTCTTATCCTAAGCTGCCCTTCTTATGTTAAATTCTCTTGTTTTCGATATTCAGTAAACCCAGCTGAATATCTTTTTGGCCTCTCTTTCCCCTACTGAAATCCTTTACTTGTGATTCGCAGAAGTGATTCGATCACTGACTGTACTCGCAATCGACTCACTCTTTCTCCACATACTCTTCCTATTTTCTCTTTTTCTTTGCTTATAATAAACACATGTTTTTATAAACTCGTATGGATAGCCACAACATGAAACTGGTAGTTCTACTCCAGACTCAATTCCGAGGATAAACAACCCAATTTCGATCGATTATTGATCTTGGATCGTCATGGCCTTCTTTAGCCTGTAACTCTAGCAACTTTAAAGAGTAAAATATGCATGGATGTGCATTCAAAGCTTCAATTAAGTCAAGTGAACGGGGAGGTGGCTGTCTAACTCTCTGGCTATACTGCAGAAATGGATCTGTCTCGTGGCCGGGCTTTGGTCTAGGTCTTGAATCAAGAGCCCAATTGATTGGAGATCCTTTTTCTCAAACAATTCCAGGTATGCCTTTCGCACTCGAGTTCGGCTGGTGGATTCCTATCTGCACTTCAGCTTACTCGATCGCCGACTCGTTGATGGTGATCATTGGATTTAAAGTGAGTGAAAAGTCGGCTGTATTCTAATGTGCAAAAATAAAACGTTATTAAGCTCAAAAGTCTTCTAACAAACAGACTTTAAGCACAAAGTACATTAGAATATTACTGCTTTAAAAGTGGAACTAGAGCAAGCAAGGCTGTGTGGCCTAGTTTGTGTGGCCTACTCTGTGTGGCCTAATCTGTGTGGCCTAGTCTGTGTGGCCTAGTGCTCTAGAAATTTCTAATTTGCGCTAATTTAAACATATCAATCTTTGCTTAGTTCACGAATTTTCATTTACAGGCCTATCGAGAGCGTCTTTTCGCAATCCTTCGCTTGTTTCGTTTCTCCAACAAAATCCTCTCAAGTTCGGAGGCTTCTGATCACAGGACGACGAAAGGCGGACCTTCGGAAATCTATAGCTCAAATACTTAGCCTCTACAGTTACGAAAAATGAGAAACTTTCTATTTCTGGACTCTAATAAACTTTTTGATGAGACTCATTGATTCGTGAAATCCGTAAAAGTGTACGGTAATCCATAAATATTATAATTGGATAGGCACAGAAAATTTATATATTAAAGGATTATGAAAATGAGGAAAACTAACTAAAACTTGATGTCATTAGTCCTTTTTGTTTTTTGGTTGCTTTTTGGTCGCTTTTTGGTCGCTTTTTGGTTGCTTTTTGGTTCCTATTTGGTTCCTATTTGGTTCCTATTTGATTCCTATTTGGTTCCTATTTGGTTCCTATTTGGTTCCTATTTGGTTCCTATTTGGTTTCTATTTGATTCCTATTTGATTCCTATTTGATTCCTATTTGGTTCCTACTTGGTTCCTACTTGGTTCCTATTTAGTTCCTATTAGGTTCTAATTTCTTCTCTATTTGATTCCTATTTGGTTCCTATATGGGTTGGGTTTTTGTAAATGAAATTACATAGTCTTGAAACTGGATAAAGTGAACGTCTTTCTTCCTTGTCTTTCCTATTTCTTCTTTAGCAAAGCAAAGGCGCCAATAGCTCGGTCCTAGAGCATCATCAGCAACAAGCACAAGGTCGACGGTTCAATTTCCCTCCAAATTTCTTTACCATTTATTTCTTTACTTTTTTTTTAAACTAGACAAAAGTACGCACAAATACAGTTTACGAAATCATTTACTTTAAAAGCCACATTTTTTAAAGCCTTTCTTTATTTTACACCTTTTGCAAAATGAAATAAACGTTTTTAAACTAAACGCTCTAACATTTTATTATTCATTAAGCACTTCTTTATGCTATACATAGCCTACAACTTGCTACTACTGAACGCTGAACAAATTTGATCCTTTCCCACAACCATTGAGTACCGATTTATACACCAAAATTCATTTTGATACAAAAAGAGTCATCGATTTCATTTGCATATCTGAAAAGTTTATTTGTTTTCTTTTTGCAAAAATTTTAATCAATTTCAAAATGTTATCCTATCTTTCAAATGCGAAATCAAGTGAATCATTCGTTTTTTTCTAGAGTTTCCCAATAGAATATGCATTCCCATTGATTTTATTGATAATTATGAGTACATATCTCACTTTGCTGTTCTTTATGTACTGAAATTTCGTTGTAAAGGTTTTATTTGAAAGATTTGAAAGTTTCAGACGTTTTAATTGAAGCAAATTTTCAGTCTAAAACAGAAATTTATAGCATAATTTACTGTAAATCTGATCAAAGATAAGATTTCATCATTGATTCTATAGAAATATACAATACTTATTTGATTTTGATTGATTGACTCAATGGACAACGATTGTCAAAATGTTTTCATCTACAGCTTCATCGTAATCTCGTGCAATTTACTGTTACTCTTTTTTTTTGGATCATTGTGTTCTCCTGTGTTCTGTGTTCTCCTGTGTTCTGTGTTCTCATTGTGTTCTGTGTTCATTATGTTCTCCTTGATCGTCTCCCTAATCGAGCCTGCTTTTGTCTTTAATTCGAGCGTAAACTCTTGCTAGGAATTTACGTATCATCGTAATCTCGTGCAATTTGCTGTTACTCTTTTTTTTGGATCATTGATAAAGCGGTTAAACTCAAAAACCCTAGAAACCATTCAACAATTTTAGAGGAATCAAGAGAATGTTAATGACTGTCACGGTTTACAATATTTACTATACTTTTTAAATCCTATTTTAGACATGGTGAGTGTAAAATTACGTCTTTTGCCTGCTAGCTTAGCTGCAATTTGTTCAAAATATTTGGTTTTACATTTTCCTCTAAAGGTTTTAAGTCTAGAGTCTGCTTTGACCCTTAACACATTCATGACGACGGTATTTAGGTGTAAAAGCGCGTCGTTAACTGTTTTACTGATAATTCGCGGGGATTCAGAGATAAACTAAACTATTATATTCATTCGATAGCCCTGAATCTCTTCTCGAAAATTCGTAAAAATTGATTGAAAATTTATCATGAAATGATAATAATAATAAAATTTTTAAAAATGCAAAAAAATCTGGTGTTGTGGGAGTCGAACCAAAGCCAAGTTGTTTCATCAACTCAGAACACTAGCCCACTAGACCACCGACGCCTTTGGAGCGTTGCTTTGTGGCGGCCCCATGAAGAGTCTAAGAGAGTAAATTTAAGGGAATTTCTGCCAGACTCTTCGCGTTTGCGTGGATGTTTTCAGCTAATTTTTACAGATTTAGAATCAGCATAGTCGACTCTATAAGATGCACTTGAACACAAAGCTATTCTCAACTTCGAGCTGGTGTCATTGCTATTATGTATATCCCCTGAAAAAATTTTTGTGGTCTGAATGAGTCAATCAAAAAGTTCGGAAATAAAAGGTTGAACTTTTATTGCTACTTGCATCACGCGAACACAGGGTTTATCAATCATTTGAAGCATCAGTCATCTTCGCAAGAAGTGGTTTAAGAGAAGCACAAATTATTGGCACTATATTCGGATGTTTAAAAGGCGATTTCTCTGGATTAGGCTAGTTCAGAAATCAGCTCGATCTTAGCCTTCTGTGCTTTTGGATCAACTCTGCTCAATAAAGCTTGTAGTTCATCATAGTCAATAAGTTTTGCATTAAAAAAAGTTAAATTTGCATTTAAATCATAGCGGATAGCGCAGGTATTCTTTAGGTTCAAAACCACGTTCAGCAAATGACGCTTTGAGGCTAAAGAATAAAGAGTTTTTAGTTGAAAACAAGACTGATAAAAAGGGATTACTTTAACAGACTATATACACTTATCATCATCCCTGAAAAAGAATTCTTTTTAATGAATTAGATACTGTACAGGATCATTGAAAACCTTAATATATTCTCTGAGCTACAAACAATGCATGTAAATTAAGATCAATGGATTCTTTTCAATCAAGAGCTTACTGTATTCTTTTCAAAAAACGCATTGATGCGTAAAAGGCTACTGTAGCTTACGTAGAAGCCAAGAATAGCTGAGATCAAAGGTGAAGAACGAAAGGGATCCAAGAGAAACAAAGAGCTAATTGCTATTCAGTGCTAATCCCTACAGTAATTTGCATACTAGACTGACATGAGACAAGGGGATAAGTATTTAATGAGAGTGCTAGATCGAGAAAGAAAACGATAACTAGATTGATCTTGGTGTTACAGTAATCTTGTTTCTTTTCTGTCTCGATTTGATTGATTGGTGACCGTTGGCGATTCTTCACACCTTGGGTGAGTTATAAATCAATTCTGACTTTATGACACCTCAAGGTTTCATAACCGATTAATTCAATAGAGGTTTTCAATAAGGAAAATGATAGGACCACCCCTAAATTTTACATTTTTTGGCTGTGGAACTTAATAACGCGAAATCGCTTTTCAAATCCTAGAAATATATGCAAAAATAGGCATAAATAGCGTTTTTAACCTTATTTGAATAAATTGCAAAAAAACTACCGTATTTCTTCGAATAGAAGATCGGGTAAAGAGTATCATCGCGTACTCCTGCGTAGCAGCCCTTTTTAAAATCTCTTTTCTGCATAAAAGCTTTCAATGAAGTGCTATAGGGCTGGAAAATGGCTCAAAAATACCACATTCACTAACAGATTTTTGAGCCATTTTCCAACTCTATAGCACTTGATTGAAAGCTTTTATGCAGAAAAGAAATTTTAAAAAGGGCTGCTACGCAGGAGTACGCGATGATACTCTTTACCCGGTCTTCTATTCGAAGAAATACGGTATACCAATTTCTTTATTTAACACCTGTTGCAAAATGATAGGACCATATAAAAAATAACAATAAATTTGAGAATCAAAAAAAAGAAAAACATGAATGAAAAATTCATTAATAATCTATAGAGACTCTCTTTTTCTCGATGACATCGAGTAGTCGACTTTTCATCGAGTTCACCAAGCTTTGAAGCGTTCCTGATGGAATTGACCTCCAAGCTCTTCAGTTTTGGTGCTTTCTTTATGACTGCTCTTTTGATGTAATGGATGTAACACTTGATGGCTTGGGAAAAAGCGCTTTTGTGGACGGGAGCTCCAATTTGTACCTTGACGTCCTGTAGCGGCATGGCCGAATTCGACAACAGACGTCCAATATGCCGTTCAGCCCGGACCGTGAGCTTTCGATGACGTCCCGGAGACTTCTTCTTGCCATACTTGAAAGGGTCCTTCAAGAAATTTGCGACAACTTGGTGCGGCGCTACATTTTCTTTGCAATCTTCCGATTCGACAAATTTCTTCCTTTCAAAATCGCAATTTTCATCTTCATTCGATCCGAGAAAGCTATTTTCCACGCCCCATCTTCCTAAAAAAATAAAAATTACCAAAAAGCAAGCAAAAAACATGGTTATTAAAGGTAGAAAATTAAAAAGAGACGACTATCATTTTGCAAAAGGTGTAAAATAAAGAAATGCTTTAAAAAATGTGGCTTTTAAAGTAAATGATTTCGTAAACCGTATTTGTGCGTACTTTTGTCTATAAAATTCGACTTTAAGCATCGTTTTGCATTTTTAGTTATTTAAAATTAAAAATCGACGGGGGTTCTATCATTTTGCAAAGAACTGTAGTTTTACAAAATTCAATAAGGAACAGCTATCCCTCGGGGGCGTGTGCCAGATGGAAAGTGATTACGCGGCCGCACAAAGAACATCTCGCCAGTCACTTTACACAGTGATTTTTCTTTTCTTCTGTACATGATTTCCAAATGAGATTTAATGTTAAAAATTTGTGCCTAGGGTTTTCAGGGTCGTAGAATCTATTGGCGGAGTTTATTTTAACCCTTTGCCCCAAGAAAAGTCTCAAGAGAATCGAATTGGTTTCGGGTTTTGCATATGATAGCTTTTCCTAATGAAAAGACGGGATTTCCGAGAAGAAGCCGGGATTGGCTTGTGAATTGAACCAAAATAGCCATTGGGGTTCATCAGAAGGCAAAATTCTAGACGTATACTAATAACTTCTTATCTTATAACATGAACTAACTATTT